GTCTGTCTGTCCGCCTTCCGTCTGATTGCCGTTGGAAACCGCGAGTGCTGATTGTGCGTTTCGATGATGCGGGTGCGTCGCTGCCTGTCCCTGCCGCGGTCGCCGCCGCACGCGCGTGGAGCGTGCTGGGGCTGATTGCGCGGGAAGGACCGCGTAACTGCGGGCCGGCTGTCTCTCTCGCACCCCGACGGGGCGGCCCGCGAGTGCGAGAGAGACAGACGACCCGCAGTTACCGCCCTGTGTTCCGCGGTGTCCGTGCCGCGGCTGCTTTGGGTGTTTCGCCACGCCGGGGCCTTTCTCTCCCCTCCCCCTCTCGTCCCTCCGCGGAGTCCGTGCCGCTGGCTGCTTTTGGCGTGTTCTTGGGGCTACGGTCCGGGCTTTCCTCCCCCCTCTCTCTCTCCGCTGCAACGGCCGTGCAAAACGGCGCGCACCCGACGCAAGGGAGAAAGGTCGGAGTTCGTCGTCGGCAACACGTGTGCGCGCGTTTCGGCCTTTCGGCGTTTTGGCGCGTAAAGTTCAAGTTCGGGGAAAGAAACATGACGAGGAAAAGTGCGCGGGCTGTCCGTCCCGCGGAGAACCTTTAAAGAGGGAGGTCTTGACTGGTCATTTTGTGACTGGACCAAAAATAATCTTTAAGGTACAACGATTTTTTTTTTTTTATTTTTTTTGCAAATTTTCAAACCCAGCTGCACCGCCATAACATGGAGAATCTCCACTGCAAGGCTTTTAGAGTGTGCACGCAGGCGATGCAGGCGCGGAGGCGGCAGGGCAGGTGCCGCGGCTCTCTAGATTTTATTTTTTTCCTCTCGCGGCTCGCGGCACTTAACATGCAAATTCCGACTGCCGTTCGCACTGGACATGAATCTGAATATTAATCGCGCTTTCCATTCGCCGCGCCGCCAAATGTCGCTGAATCGCAATGTGTGTCGTTTTGCGGCGCCGCGGGAAAAGGGGATGCCGCCTGCCAACCTGCGAATCGCAAAAGGCCCAATTAAAAAGATAATTTAAACGTGGGCATCTATTTTTTAAAAGAGCATTCTGGCGATGCGTGTATTTTTTACAACATTATAATCTTCTCTATTGCATTGATGAACGGTTTCTCATAGCACGCCCTCTAGCCGAGTGCGCGTGTTTTTGTTGTTTTTTTTACACTGTGGTCTAGTTTTTCTCACTATTTTGCATTGATTGACCGTTTGTCTGATCTCCGCCTGCATCAAAGTCGTCCCTTCTTTCGGTCGTTCCGCTCCATTCACGAGTCCGGCCGGGGAAGCCATTCATATTCATTTCGAGGAGCCACCGCCACCTCCAAGTTGCCCGCCGTGATTTAGGCGCGGCCGGCCGGCCTGTCGATTAGTGCAGTGGAGGGCTTGGAGGCGTCGGGGCCCCCGGTCGGCCCCCGGGCAGGGCAGGGCAGGCCCCCCGCGGGGTCTGGGGCTGTATCTGGGAGGGGATCGGCCCTTTGGAGTGAATTAGTGAAGGGCTTTGGGGCTCGCCGCGCACGGGGCCCACCACGGGGCCACGCCCTCACTCTATCTGGCACGCGAGTGACCCGATGCGGCGGGGTGCGCGTTCGGTAACGCTGTCCTTGTCACTCCCACGCGCGGGGGCAGAGAGCGAGAGAGAGAGAGAGAGAGAGAGAGAGAGAGAGAGACTCGGACGCGCCCCCGGCCGATGGGCGATTGGGTGCCCCTTTTGGAGCGGCCCCCTCGGCCCCCTCGGCGGGGTGCGGCCGGTTGCAGCTTCCGCGTCCCGTGCGGTCTGACAGTGTGACGGCCTGACCTTTGAGGCTGAAAGGTTGCCGCCAGTTTGGGCAAGCCCGTCGTCATACCGCGGACGAGGTGTGGCGGGCACGAAAAAAAAGAAGAAAAAAAATCTTTGTTGTGGTAATCGACTCTGTTCGATAGACTGAAATCAATAGCTGCAATCGAAAATCCGATGCCGGCTGTCGAATTCAGTCTATCCCAGCGGTTCTCAACCTTTCTCGGCTCGCGACCCCAAATTTGTAGCCAAAAATTTCCGCGACCCCCAGGAAAAGTTTTGCGACCCCACGGGACCCCTCCTTTAGCATGCCACTGCGTCTGATCCGAGGCGGGCATTTTGCTCCCTCAACGGGCAATTGGTCTTTGGACCTTCCTTTAGCATGCCTCTGTTACGGAGTGCGATTATCAGTCTTAGTTTGGGAGCAGTATTGTCTCAAAGTTGGCCAAAACGCTCAGAAATGTCTTAAAAAATCATGTTTTGGGTCGATTTTAAGCAGCCACTGCGTCGATCCGAGGCGGGCATTTTGCTCCCTCAACGGGCAATTGTTCTATTGGACCTTCCTTTTAGCGTGGCCTATTTTGGTACGAAAATGCGATTATCCGCAAGGCAAAAAAACCCAAAGTTCCCTTGAAGGAGGCAAATATTGCTCTCAAAGTGGACCAAAATAGGCCCAACCGATTTTTCAAAGACATTTCTGAGCGTTTCGGCCAACTTTGAGACAATACTGCTCCCAAACTAAGACTGATAATCACACTCCGTAACAAAGGCATGCTAAAAGAAGGTCCAAAGACCAATTGCCCGTTGAAGGAGGACGAAATACCGCCTCGGGTCAGACGCAGTGGCTGCTTAAAATAGGCCCAAAACACGATTTTTCAAAGACATTTCTGACCGTTTTGGTAAACTTTGAGACAATACTGCTCCCAAACTAAGACTGATAATCACACTCCGTAACAAAGGCATGCTAAAGGAAGGTTCAAAGACCAATTGCCGGTTGAGGGAGCAAAATGCCCGCCTCGGATCAGACGCAGTGGCTGCTTAAAATCGGCCCAAAACACGACCCCAGCTACCTCGCCGCGACCCCTTAAAATTTTTTCGCGACCCCACTTGGGGTCGCGACCCTAAGGTTGAGAACCACTGGTCTATCCAACAGAGTCGACCTCAGCGACAAAGTCTGTCCGTGAGTCACTCTTCCTGCTCGCTGGCAGTGTGCGTTCATACGGTGATGCACCATTAGCGGCGTGATAGCGATTTGGCGACGATAGAGTGCGATAAGCGGGCTGCAGCGTTGCTGGCCGTGCAGGCCGTCATCGCCGTCAAACGGCCGCCGTCGACCGCGCCGTCTAGTCCGGGACTCTAGGGCATCGGGGCGGCGCCGCGGCCATGGCAGCCGCACTGCGAGGTGAGCTCGGCCGAGCCCGCCTGGAGGCTCCATGGAGCAGCGTCCTGGAAGCAGTCTGCAGACTGTCCCTCTCTCTCGCACTCGTGGAGCGTCGCGAGTGGGTGCGAGAGAGACAGAGCCGAACGAGCTCGCTGGCGCCGCGGTGGAGAGCGAGAGGCTGAACTTGGCGCCGGTCGGAGGGAGGACTGAGCCCTGGCGACGGGACTTGTCCTGGAGTGGTGACAAGGTCGTGGAGAATTGTGGCTAATTTCTCTCTCTCTCTCTCTCTGCTTTCCTCCCTTGGCGTACTCGCAGCGCCGTGGACGCGTTCCAGACGGCGCCCCGCGGTGCTGGTGATCCGATAGCAGGCCCCGCTGCAGCGAGAGGGCTCTGTCTGTCTCTCTCGCACTCGAGGCGTGCCCCGTGGGTGTGCGAGAGAGACAGGGGCGCTATTTGGCAGCTGCTGCCTGGCTGCAGCGCTTTGCATGAGGCGTCCCGGCGTCCCGGCCGGCCGTCGGCCTGATGGTGATCCGGTTTCCGCGGCGTCTCGGCCCCTGGACGGACTCGGGGTGGGGCGGGGCGGGGAAAGTGCCGGACGCTGTGGCGGGCAGGGGCAGGCCAGGGCTGCCAGGGCCCTGGGCGGCCCTTGGCTGCGCTGCGTTTACACCGAGGGAAAAGTAAGGGGTCCGACAGTCTGACGGGCCGGCCTGAAAATGGGCCTTGATTTTGTGCAGCGAAAATGAAGTCCGAAGGCCGGTTGCAGTCTGCAGGTGGGGCTGTGCAGTGCAGCGGCAATGGCAGCGCCTTGCGAGGCCGCTGCGTTCGACGGGCAGTCCATCGAGACGCACGTGTGAAACGCAACGCCCTTACAGTGGGCCCCACGCACCTTCCTCTTCCTTTCCTTGCGTCTTTCTCTTCTTTCCTGTCCGTTCTTGGTCCTTCCCCTCCGATGCCCCCTGCTGCCCTTCCGGTCCCTTTTGCCATGCTCCTTTCCAACCCTGCAATGCTTTTCCAATCGCTTCCTCTCCGCCCTCTCCTTTACCTTTCTCTCCCTTGCGCCTTCCTCCGCGGCCCTTGTGTGGCCCATTCACTCTTGCTTTCGGACTCGGCCGGAGAGGATCCCGATAATATCGGTCCACTCCACTGCACGGCCGACGGCCAGCCCGGCCAGCCCTTCGCCGCCGATTTCATCGTGTCCGACGCGCACCTCGAACGTCGCTTTATGTTAATCCGTGGCGAGCCGCGGCACGCCCCCCGCCGCCCACTTGGTGCGTTTCACTTTTTTGTGCCAAATTAGCATGTGTCGTGCTAAAGGGAAAGGTTTTGACTGAGCGCCGATCCCTTGGCCGGCTTGTTTGTCTCCGTCGGTCTGTCTCTCTCGCACGCGTGGGGCGTCCCAGACCGGCGTCTGGGTGCGGCGCGGTGATTGGGTCGGATCGGCGCCGCGGTGTCCGCGCTGTGCGTCTGGAAAAGTGGCAACTCTACATCTCTATTCGCTGCGGCGCTGCGGTCTGGCCAAGCCCAGGCCTTGCCGGCCAAGACCATTCCCGCCGCACCGCAGCGCCCGACGTACTCTGCCTGCCGCCCGCTTTCCGAAAGATCGTTCCGTCGCTCCGTCTCCCTCGCACCCCTGCGTACCCTACGTGACGCCCCGTGAGTGCGAGAGAGACAGAGCGACGGAATAATCCTTCGGCTGGCGCGCCGAGTCCGGTGTGGTCACGCCGCCACCGACCGCCACACCAACAAGTACACGAATACGGTACTCTCGCTCGGCAGCGCCGCGCCGCAGATCTCGCGCCGGCAGTGGAAAAACAAAAACCAGCGCATCGCGACTAAGTGTGTGCTTTTTGTGCCCCCGCAGGCGAGGTGGTCTACGACTCGATCCTGCTCAACAAGCAGAAGACCAAGAACTACTGGGAGCAGCTCATGATGGCGGCCGCTGCCCCGGGGTCGCCGACGGCGCCCCCCTCCGGCCCCGCCAGCCCCCAGCAGGCCCCGCAGGTCGCCGTCGTGGTGGGCCAGGGCCGCGACATGCCGTCGCTGGAGCAGGCCGGCAGCGAAGTGTCCGAGCAGGAGTACTTCGACGCGCGCTCCACGGTAAGCACACTGCACAGTGGGCCAGAAGACCGGGGGAGGCGGCCAAAATCATAGACGCGGTTTCAGCCGCCTCCACCGGTCTTGCGCTTGAGAAGGCGTCTAAGTTCCTCCGGTGCATTTTTATATAAATGAACGTTTTCGAATAAATGTTGGAAATATGTTGGTCTGACGTGAGTGTGCTTCCGCAGGTGTCGCCGCCCGAGCCGGCCGAGGCCGCGGACGCTGACGGCGTGACGGGCGGGCCCAAGGTGGTGGAGACGGTGGCCAAGGCGTGCCGCCGCCTGGAGCACGGCCTGGAGGCGGAGCACGCCCTGGAGCACGCGCTGGAGCGGGAGAGCGTGGTGGAGCGAGACATCCGCCTCCAGCGTGAGCGGGAGGAGCAGCTGGCCCGCGAGCGCGAGGCCGCCCTGGACCTCCTGCGCGACGACGGCTTCGTCAGCATCCCCACGTCCACCACGGACGAGGGCAACTTTTCCGAGTACGGCAGCGAGGAGAAGGAACACAGCATCGACGGAAGCAACAGGTGGGTACACTGGAGGGAGGGCCGCTACACTGGAGAGAAGCGCCGTCCGCGCGGTGCTCTGCGGCGTTTGGCACGGCCGGTGCGATTCGGTTTTCGAAGCGGCCTGCTGACGCGGCGAGGCGGCCAGTTCGCGGACACGTAATCAATACCGTTATCTCGTTAGTATCGCCGATAATCCCTGCAGAGGACCGCACTCTGCATGGCGTCCTCTGGCGCCTCTCTCTGTCTCGCTCGCACTCGGCCGGGCGGCGGGGCCGCGCTCGCAGTGTCGCGGACGCGTCCTGCTAGATTAGTGCGCGCGGGGAAGGGTGCGGGGCGCGGCCGTTGCCAGCTGGCCAGTGCGCCCCGCGGACCACCCGGACCACCCACCAGTCTTCGTCGGTGTGCTCGACTGGTTCGCTGACGGCCACCCCAAAGTCGCCACCATGTCGCCGTCCCCCGTCACCGATGTCCTCGCCGAGGCCCCCGACGCCGGCGCTCTGCTCGCTGACGGCGCCCTGGACGTCGTCGTCGGGAAGGCGGCCGCCGAGCGCGCCGACAGCACGGACAGCGCCACTGGCGGCAACGTGACCCCCGCCGAAGACGCGGACACTGACTTGACAGCGGACACGGTGGACGCCGACAACAACGCCGCCGGGACGACCGTCGACGACCAGGACCTTGGGTAACACCACGCCTTGTCCCCGAACGGGAGGCCGAGGTTTTCGAGGGCGGATCCAGGGACTGTTTCGGGGAGGGGATGTCGCAAAAGTTGCCTACTTACAGTCTCAAAGTGCGACTTTCTGCCTACCTTTCAGGCGCCAGGGGTTTGAGGTGAAGGATGCGTCATGTGTCAGGCCATGGTCGGCTGTTTGGTAACGTTGCGACGCCTTAGATAAGCATAAGCACTGCCCGACGATGACGGACGTGTGCCAGTAGTGTACTAATGCGTGGATTCGAGTGCCGTGACCATGAAAAACGAGATGGTACTGTTTGTAGTGAAACTCAAGGGTGCTCCGCGAGCAGGCAATGGCCTAACGCCTTATTTTCCGTATTTTGGCTGTGCGCAGATCCTGTCACGATCGCAAGGCCATCGGGACTCTCTTTCGCTAATCCTGTCGCGAGTGCTAAACCCAGCCTGATGTTGCAGCCGCGTGATGAGCCCCGAGGTGGGGGCGCTGCCGCACCACCACCACCAGCGCACGCAGTCCATGGACTCGACCAGCTCGGGCCACTCGTCGGGCTCCGGGTCGGGCTCCGGGTCGGGCTCCGGGTCGTCGGGCTTCAACGGCCGGCGCCGCGTCACGGTCAAGCCCCTCGCCGAGCCGGAGGACCAGGACACGCCGACGTACATCAGGCAAGCACCTTCCCTTGGCGTTGCTTGATGTTGTTGTTGTTTTTTCGCTGGGTTTTAATTACGTTTTTTTGCAGGCCCAGCAGCGAGACTCCGATCGAGCGGGAGATTCGGCTGTCGCGCGAGCGGGAGGCCGAGCTGGCTCGCGAGAAGGCCCTGCGCCTCAGCGTCAACGCCCCCGCGGCCAACGGGACGGTGAGGGGCACTCCGCCACCAATCGGAAGGAATAGACAGCATGAGCGGTCTGCAATGATGATTTGTTTCCAGCAGGAGCACCCCGTCGTCAACGGAAATGCCGGCGCGGTCAACAACAGCAGCAGCAGCAACAACAAGGTGGAGGCGGCGGAGAGCAGGGAGTCGGTGCGGAATGCCACGAACCGCATCCAGCAGGAGATCTCGCGCGCCAACGAGCGGGAGCAGGAACTGCGCCACGCCAGCAAGGAGGTACACGAAAAGCCGGGACAACCGACGGGGGCAATCTTTCGCCAGTTGACTGTTGGGAATTCTAACCCTTTTCCGTTTGGCGTTGCAGGGCGGCCAGCGCTTCACGTCGTCCGAGTTCCCCTTCAAGCAGCTGAAGAAGGCCGTGTCGACGTCGCACCTCTCGGTGCTGAGCAGCGAGCCGACGACGCCCCCCGCGCCGCAGCCGCAGTCGCAGGCGCGGCCGCCGCTGCGCCGCCTGGGCACGGTGGCCACGTCGACGCCCACCTCGCCGGCCGCGCAGACGCCGCGCGCCGCCCTGGGCCGCTCCGTGTCGGCCGCGCCCTCGCCGGTCACCCTTTCCAGTGTGGTGTCGTCGCTCACGCCGGCCGGGCGCCGCTTCGCGCCCAACCCCAGCCAGAAGGGCCTGATGCAGCGCTTCCTCGCGTCCAGGGGCAAGGTAGGCACCCCGCCGAGCGGCCGTGCGCGCAATGCCTACCCGCCGGGCGCTCGGCGAGGAGGACTTGTTTTGGTACAGACCGACCGCCCCGCTGACTCGACGCACGCTCTCCCCTTGCAGATGAGCCCCGCCGGCTTGGTGAGCGGCTCGTCCGGGCCGGGTAGCGCCTCGCACCCGCCTGTGCTGCCCCAGACCCTGTACAGCCCCAGCGCCGCCGCGCACACCGCGCACACCGTGCCGCTGTCCCCCGCCGTCACGGCCAAGCTGACGGCGGTCGTGGACAGCGAGTCCTACGAGCGCGAGGTGAGTGCAGCGCCGGCTGCCGCCGTCACGACGGACTTGGCGTGCCCGAGGTTCGCTTGCTTTAACCTGCGCGTTGCCCACAGGAGCCGGCGCCCGCCCCCGTGCGACGCGGCTACACCTCCGCCGAGGACAAGATCCAGGAGGAGCTGAAGGAGATGCGGCGGCGGGAGGAGGAACTGAGGTGCGAAACGAACGACACTGTCGGTCGGAACGGGGACGGCACCGTCGCTACTCCACGCGCGAGAGACCGGCGCGTGAGCACGGAGTATCGCCGGAGTAGCGTCGGGGGCCTTCCCTCTGCGACTGGTTGTGATTTGAATGTTTTTTTGGACTACTTTTGAAAACATCGCACCTTCATTTCGCTTTTTCCTTCTTGGTTCTTACTAAACCTATTGATTTTGTTTAGGCTTCAGAGAGCGAGGACGTTCGCCCGCTCACAACCCAATCTGCTGTCCCTGCTGGACGACGTGGACAGTCCAGACTCCACAACCCTGAATGACAGCTCTCCAGTCATTGACAAACTACCTGCTATGGCGGCATTGCGATCCGCCCTATCTAATCCCAATTTGCTGGATGAGGAGGCCCACTTGAATGGTGTTGATTCCTTCAATGAAAAGGTGAGTGGACTGCATTTCCTCACTAAACCAACTCGTTCTGTTCAGAGGTAATGACATCTCTTACATTTTTTCTTACTGATGCTCTGTTTCCAGAATTTGCAGAAAAACAGTGGTATTAGGAAAAAGAATGCTCTGATAGCCGAATGGGAAAACCGCATCCAGCAACACATCGAGCATTGAATGTGTGTGTTATATTGTTGTAATATATAGAATTTAATAAGGTGGCAACCATCCCAATCTGTAAGTATTAGTTCTTACAAGTTTGGATTATTGTTTCTGTGGGTAGCATTTGACAAACTTCATTCAATTTTTAGGGGTGCCTGGAGAAGCTGGACTCTGAACCAATTTGCAGCGGAGGAGTCCCTTCTCAGCCATAACCCTGTAACATTAAGGCTGCTACGTGGGACTGCCATATAGAAATATCAAAGCAGTAGAATCGTAATTGATCCAGTGATGTTAGACTTTGTGAAGAGACTTGTTGAATTTTCATATTTTTAGAACTACCTGGAAGTACTACCGTAATCAGCTTTGTTTCTATGTAAAAAAAAAATTAAGGTATTGTTTATAGAAGTGTCCATAGTAAGACATCTATTTTGCTACTATTTTGCCAACCTAATGGTGATCAAGATTATTTTCTTATGCAAATATATTAGTATTGTGTACAGTTTTTACAGACAAAAGAGAACTACTTTTACCAATAGAAAATAGTACATAGCTATTTTAGAGCAATAATGCCAATCTTGAGAAAATGTTTCTAATTTATTGTCTTTTGAAATTTGCCTGGCAAAAAGTGCCAGTTGTTTCAAATTTATGTAGAATTAAAGTTATTGTTGAGTTTTGTTTTATCCTGAAGATGAGGTTGATGAGGTCAAATCATGAGCTGACATGCATCTACTGTGCTCATCGAAGGTGTTGGGAAGAGAGAACTATATCATATGATGATTGTAAACACAAATAAAAAGTGAAACAAATATTAAAGTTACTGAAAAATCTCATGGTTTTATTTTATCATCTAAATGGTCCTCCAGTATCAAACAGACTTCTTTCACACGGAATCATAAAAAGATCCTGATAATCATTATTCTGATGTAATCCTATTGTATGACTAGACATGTGACATAACTGTGGCACATAGACATATTGCTTAAACAATGACCATATTTTTAATACAGAGGTAAAGCTGCCCAGCTCAAACATGGCATTATGGAGGGCTAGTGTCATGGTCTAAACAAAACTCTTGTTTTCCTTTCGAAGTGATGCGGTATTATAATGGACAGTGTAAATAGAACTGATAGCAAAATATTAATTGCACATCACAGAATTACATTATCACAGGGGTAGAAAAAAGTACACTAACAAAGTAGGGTAAAAGTACTAATGGCACTTCTGTATAAATTTCAGATCATTAATAAAGTCACCTTCAATTAACTTACACTGAGTTTGGCCCCACAGTTCTTTTATATAAATAAATCAATAACAACGTAATAAAATGGAATGCAAATGTGCACAGAAACGAGCTTTCCAGGAATGCATACTGATACACTCTCTGTTTTGGGAATGATAACAGAGACAACAGTTAAGTAAATTAGAAATGGCAACATGATCTATGATAACAAAATGTTACATAGACAGAACAAAATACAAAGAAAGTTAAAATAAAACATCCTCCTATGGCACATAAATGGGGAGGGATCCTGACACATACATCTCAGAAACTTGACCACCGTCGCTTAGCAGGAACAACTTGAAGATGCCTGCGGTCCTGGTCCCGTCAACTTGAGGCTGTCATTGGCCATGCCTAGGCCCTGCATTCCCTCGTGTCGCATCATTACATCCACCAAAAATCTGAAACATCAATGGAAAAACCAAAACATGAGTTCTGAGAGTTCCAACAAAACTGACTTCAAGCTGCTGGCAATGTGTTACGTGCGCCCACCTCATTGAATCATTAACCATTAATCCTTCTTTGGCAGAAGTTTCAGTCCATCCAATAAAGTTGTGCTCCTTGTAGAATGTTTCGATTTCCATCTGGTCCACTTGGCGATGTGCTAGGTCACACTGTGAAGAGGATTTACTTTACTTTTTTATTTTGCTCAATTGAGGGATGCTACATGCCACCTGCTAATAACATTATTCACATGACAAACCTTGTTGGCAAGAAGCATGCATGGAATTGGTGAACCATCTGGGAGAGTACACTTTGAGTCCACATCTCTTTTCCACTTCAGTGTGTTGACAAAAGAATTTTTATTTGCTAAATCAAACATAATGACACAGCCATGAGCATCCTTGTAATATACTCTTGTCATCCACGTGAATCGTTCCTGCCCTGAAAACAAACAAGGGGATAAAAATGTAAAACACTTTCCACTTGGAATCGCATAGAAAGTTGCAGCAAAATATCTCAGATGATGACTCCTACCAGCAATATCCCACAGCTGTAGCTTGATTGTTTGAGTCTCTGACCACTTCAGTATCTTGAGGGCAAAGTCAACACCCACTGTCCCTTTGTAATCTCTCTTGAATGAATTTTGTACATAACGTTGCACAAAAGAAGTTTTCCCAACAGTAGGGTCTCCGATGATTATGACTTTGAAAAGCTTTTCAGGCATCGTGGTGAACTCTGAAAGGCACAAACAAAAAATAAGGATTAATTTCATCATACGGATTCAAACCAGAAAGACATAAATCAACTGCAAAGAGCAAGTGGGGTACATTCCCAACACAACAAGCTTTCAAGTGACAATTGTCATTCAGCAAAGAAGGGCTTCCCTGATATTACAGTACGAGAAAACTACCCAAACTATAGATGGCACATTCTTGAAAAAAATAACAACTGTTGATGGGCAAAAGAACCGATTTCATCTTCCCTTATCAAGCATGATTTGTCGGGGTTAGTCCGGAACTTCATGACCCACATCCCAAAACCGCACCTGACAAACTCATTTCGACGGATTTCCAAGGAGGAGAGGCTATCAAAATTATCGGTAAATATTTTCCAGTCTTCACTCAGTGTCCTCACAGCAAAACGTCCAAGAAACTAATGCGGATATCAGGAGCTTTCAAAACAAATAATTTTCGACATTTAAATGGCTTTGATACCAACATACTTGTGGCAGAATGCAAACTTTCCCACTAGAAGGCGAAGAGTTCTGAGCCAGTCTGGGACCTAAAATCCCTTTGTGATCCGTCTATTGCATTTCTAAGAAAAAAATTTAATTTCAGCTGTGACGTCAGGGGACATAAATCTTTTCCAGGATAAGAAATATTATCAATTGTGAAAGTAACTTTTCATTCCAAATTCATTTGGTTTGCGAGACTGCCCGCCCGTTCGTCAGCTGTTTCTTGTTTTGGAGTCGACGGGGTCGCTGCAGACGACATTTCTGCTACGGACGACTGACTGCAGACTGCAGCTGCAGGGCAAAAACAACTGTAGGCAAGTGACGGGATCTTATCTTTTCTTTTCCGTGGCTTACTGTTCGGAGTCGCTGTTTAAAAAGCAACTCCTTAAAAAAATCCACGATGAACCAGAAGCGGGACCTAGACGAACTCTTCCTTTGCTGCCGAAAGGGGGATCTTTCACAAGTTCAGTAAGTGTTTGTTTTCTTCTCCAGCTTAAAAACATTTAGATGTCACTTTTTTACCTTTTCAGTTGCGCAACACCAGTATAGATTCACCTCGCTGACAATATATTTCAGTGGCAGTTGGGAAAGGAAGCATTCTTTTGGACCTGCCCAATACTTCTGTTGACTGCTTATTTCATTTGTAATAAATCCCATGCTCAGAGAGGAAACTAACCTCCTCCATTACTATTTAACACTAAACTAATTCTTGTATAACTAGAATTCACTGGCATGCATTTCCTTCTGTGTCCTTTTGCACCTTAAACTTCTAGGCTTTTTTATTCTTTTCAGGTATCTTGTTCAAGAAAAGGAAGTTGACTTGAATGTTCGAGATCAATGGGACAGTACACCATTGTAAGAGAAGTTGTTTTGTATTAGCTTGACTTGTTTTGGATTGCTTCAAATAATGTCTCAAAATTTTCCATCATTCCATCAGATATTATGCTTGTCTTTGCGGACACACAGAAGTTGTGGAATATCTTCTAGAGAGTGGAGCCCGCTGTGAAGCAAACACATTTGATGGGGAACGTTGTGTTTATGGGGCATTGGATGATGTCATCCGACAAATCTTGTTGAACTACAAGGTTGTAACAAGTCATACAATGCGGAGGAATTTATATGATGAGTTTCTTAGGAGGTAAATATCACAACACTAATCTGATGGCTTAATGGTCATGTTCTTTTTCTCAATTTAATTTTATACTTTTCCAGGTTACTGGAGGGAGTTTATAGTGATGTAACCTTCATTGTTCATGGCACCAAGTTCCATGTACACAAGTGTATTTTATCAGCGAGAAGCAGCTACTTTTGCAATAAATTTGAAGGGCCTTGGAAAAATAGGGACATTATTGACACTAGCCATCACCTTGTAAGTACATTTAATTTCTTTTAAGTGACTTTAAAGACGCCAAGAAGACTATGGAATATTTTTCTTCCTTTCAGATCAATCATACGGCCTTCAAGTCCCTGATTCAATTTTTATACACGGGCCGCTTGGAGACAAACATCAGTGATGTTGAGATTGTCTTACGTTTGGCCATCAAGTGCAAACTACCAAAGCTAGAATCGGAGTTGGTAGATCAAATCAAGAAAGTGACAGCATTTGGTAAGTCATCCGAATCACTTCAATCTGGTCTAAACCATGACTCACTGGCTGATGGAGTAGATCTGTAGATGTGAGCTTCGCTTTCCGGCTCACTCCCTTCCTCGGTGGGCGTTCGATCATTGTATCCTCGGGAACTCCTCTCATGGGACGGACTTGTCGTCGTACCCTCTCCACTGCTTATTTTTTGAACTGGCATGTCTTCGTCTTCTTCAAAAGAGGATCTCTGGTCTCCAACTCTTGGCCAAAATGCAAGATGTCTGCGTGGTGATGTCATCCCATTTAACTGGACATTCACATGGTCATCCGCTGCCACGCGTCTGTTCGAAACTGAATTCACTTAATTTCATTCACTTGAAACAAAACTGGAACGTAACTGCACAGTTGCCGCTTGGCAGCTTTGTTACAGTGAAACTTGAACAACAAGCAGCACACACTGTCCTGTCCGTTATCACAGGGAGAGTCCCCACAGTCACTTGATTAATCACTGCTGCACCGGGCTGGCTGCACACTGCACTACACCGCGCTGCGCTGCACTCGACGGCAAGGCAATCTAGAGCACGGCACGGCCGGGGCGCCACGACCGCGAGCCACCGCCAGGACGCTGTTTGTGTGTACCTGAGAGGCTTTAGGCGAGGTAGACTCAGGCGCGGGGCGGCGGGGCTGGCCGGGAGGTAGCCGGGAGGTCCTGGGGGCTGGCGGGGAGGGGCGCGGCGGCGTGGCGGTGCGCGGGGGCCTGGGATGGCAACAACTTTGTGTCACCACCACCCTGCCCTGGGGCCTGCGCTAGCCTCCGCACGCTGCGGGGGAGGGCGTGGGGGGCGGAGAGGGGCCGACGGCGACGGCGGTCGGGTTTCAGTTCGGATCGCTTGAGTTCGGCTTCGGGCCGGAAGGTACCACTGGCACGGCCACGACGCAGTCCACTCCACTGCCTAACGCTGTGCGCCCACCGAACGCCGCACGCGTTGTGTAACCACTCCGGGGCCCCGTGCCAGCCCCGCCAGCCCCGCCGGCCCCCGCACCCTCTCGGGGTCCTCTCCCCTCCCCGCTGTCATCTCGGCTCGATCGGTTGACTGGCCAGAAGCCGGCCAGCTGACCTTCTACGCCCTCCTCCCAACCCTCTCCCCGCCCCGCCCCGCCTAGAGCTCCGAGCTCCGCCTCCTCCAAGACGCTGGCTTCCCCCGCGTCCGCGTGCACCGGGTGCGTGCCTAGCCTGGCCTGCTGCTAGAGTCCTGCTGGGTTGCTCTTCCCGCTGGAGTGCCTGGTGCCGCTCCCCCGGTCCATTTGTCCAGCCTGGAATGCTGCGGGAGCAGTGCTGGAGCAAGCGCTGGAGCGCCGAGCGTCCCCGGGGAAGCTCCAGGGAGCAACAGGCGGCGGCCGCGGCTCTCGCGCTACCCTCAACGCCACTGCCAACTTAACAAAAATTTAAATTTTGGACTTCCCCCTGCTTGTCTTGGTAAACGAGCCCCTTGCTGCCGGAAAAGACCAACAGTGCCAACTTGACGAAAATAAGAGAAAATTCGGAATTCCCCCCGCTGTTTCCTGTGTGCTTGTGTTGGTAAACGAGCCAATGACACTGCGAGAGATTAAAACGTGGCGGGGCGGGGCGCCTGCTTTGCATGGCGTGGCTTTCGCCGCGGGATCTTCGACCGCCGTGCCGCCGTGCCGCGACGCCTAATCGTCCATGTGGCGGTGTAGTGGCATCCGTGCCGACCACGCGGCCACGCCCGCCTAACCTACCCCATCCCCCCTTGACCCCAACACACGATACCCCTGTGCGTCCGCCCTCCGCTGCCTGTCTGTCCGTCTGTCCGTCCGCGCGTCGTGTGGGCTCCTCGCCGTACTAATCTGCTTACCTTCTCTCCTGGGCGGCCGCCCTGCGACCATGCTGCGACTAGTTAGCGACCTGCCTATCGCCACGCCTCGGCTATCGTGCCACCGCGCCACCGCCGCGTGCGACTACGCGCCACCAGCGGCCAATGGCATGGCCATCCTCGACCCGCGCAGGACTCCCGATAAACTGATATCGCGCCGGACAAAAAAAGAAGGCGCGCTGATTGAGGAAGGGTCAGCGGCGGCTTGTTTTGGCGGGGATTAGCCGCCGAGAGTCTCCGTGTGATAGGATGACTTCTCAACTCTTTTATCGTCGGAGAAAAAATATTTATGGCCGTCTCTCCGGGCATCGCGATCTCTCTGCGCGCGGCGGCGGCGGCGGCCTTTGCCGCGGTCACCGTGGTCAGTTTCTGCTCGCATGCACCCGTGCTGTGGCAGGCGTTAGGTTAGGTTAGGTCCCACGGGACCGCAGTCGCGCGCCAGGACGCGGCACACGCTCGCAGGCGGTTCGAATCACTGTCCAGACTCACATCCGCGGCGGCAGGTGCATCCTTTGCCGGTCTAATACACCGCCAGGTGGCAAGACCGGGTCATCCAGGAATCGGGGCCGCGCCAAGCGAATGTCAATGACGCCAAACAGTTGTTGTGATTGTACCCGAGTGCATTCCTCGGAGGAGCAGCTCGTAGAGAGGAAGTGAAGCTACTCTGGAAAACAGTTGGAGCCACTGATATTTATTGCGATAAGTTTTAAAATGAAAGGTCTCATTCATAATGTGTCGCTCGCGACATTTGTCAGCAGGCGAATGCAGGAGAGTGGTCCTTCCCCCTTGCTCGGCGTGGCTCTGTGTGTGGCACGCACACGGAGGGGATTTTGCACTGTTTTGCATTTCTAGCGCTTCTTAGCCAACAGCTGCCGCCCCGCCCCTTTCCCCAGACGACCCTGCCGTGCAACACACGCACGCTTTTAGTCGCGTGAGGGAAAAAAGAAGTTGGAACTTAAAAAAGAAACTGTCAGGCCGTTGCGAAATTTTGGCAGTTTGTATCAACCATTCTATCCGGGCTGTAGCGCGGTTCACGAAAATTTTTGCTAGCCATTTTTTTTTTTTTTTTTTTTTTTTTTTGCTTTTACAGACAACTATTAAACTTTTTTGCTCATAAATAAATTCATCTGCTCTGAGTCAGCCGTCTTCCCAGTCTGCTAGTTGCTTCGCTATCGAGTTATCGAACAGTCAGTCGGACGGACGGTAGACAGACGGTACCGCGGTGGCCACCGGTCCGGACTGATGGGGAATGCTAAGTAAGACTCTCCAGGAAGCGTCTCGAACGACGCCCATGTAACTTACGTAAGCCTCACGCAGGCACGCCAAGCAAGGCCGTGCTGGCGGTGCCCAGTCTATGCCCAGGCAGTCCCGACGGTCCCGACGCCGGCAGGCCGGTCGACGGATAAATAACTGGTTTGTTGGAGAGGTTGACATGGCCTTGGGTTCGGCGCCTCAAGGTGCGCCCTTTCCCTTGAACTGAACGCCCTTCGGCTGACCTCCCCAGGCAGGCAGCCAGGGCTGGCAGCCCAGGCCGCCCGGGCCATGCTGGCAGCCTGCGAGGTAGGCACGCCCGTTACGCAGCGCTGTGGAGCGCACTGCCTATGTCGCCCGGCGCTTCCGCCACCCAGTTACACCCAGTGGGCCCAACATGCATAGAAATGCGAGTACTTCTTACTTTTCTCGCCAGAATTCTTCTTGGACTAGGCCTGTTTTCCCCTACCCCTTTTCAGAACCGGCAGATAAGCAGAAAGTTGCGCCCTTCCCGCGTAAATTGGCGATTATTGCTGCATCCCTCCCTCTGTCCGTTTCTGGATCAACGGGCGAATCGGGGATGTGATGTCACGTTCCTCTATTTCCAGTGCTCCTCGGGCAGGCCAGGCTGCCGCGTGAATTTTACGTAAGCTTCGCTGGCTGTGTGGCGCTGTGTGGCGCTGTGTGGCCTTGGGGCCCCTAGGCGCGCCGCGCGGGAAAAAGAAGCGGTTTCGCGCCGCACTGTTAGGCCGAATATTCTACTTTCTTTGAGGCTATGAATCCTGACCGTGTTCTGTTTGGCTGTTCCCAGAGTCGTCCAAGCCCAACCTCTGCAACAAAGTGAAGACCCTGACGCTCGAGTCGCCCGAGCTCGTGTCCGACCTCGCCCAGGACCTCGGGGTGCTCGCCGTGCAGGTGATGTCGCCCCGCCTTCGCCCTGCCTTGCCCAGTGGGCCAGAAGACCGGTGGAGGCGGCCAAAATCCTAGACGCGTTTCGAGCTCCAGGCGCTGAATGGGACTCGAACCGAACGTGTGACCCCACCAATGGATTGCTCTTCGAACGAGGAATCCATTGGTGGGGTCACACGTTCGATTCGAGTCCTGTTTAGCGACTCTGGAGCTCAAACCTGTCCGGGATTTTGGCCGCCTCCACCGGTCTTCTGACAAATCCACTGTGCCTTTTTCGAGTCGTGAGTCACGTCGACTTGCAGTGGACGGCCGGGCCCAATCGAAGCTGCCAGATGTGGAGCGGAAGTGGCAGCAGCGCAGAAATAAATTTCAGTCCCGAGCGGTGAAATTCGGTTTCACCACTGACAATCTTGCGCTCTGCAGGGTGTTTTTATGTTTTTATTATAAACGAATTTTGTGTGATTGCAGGCGGTGCCGCCCGCACTCCGAGACTGGGTGGGCGCCGACGACCTACCCCTGCTGCCCAGCGCGCCGCTGCACCTGGTGGACGTGAGCTTCGTGGTGGACGGCCACACCTTCCTGTGCCACAAGGTGCACCCACACTCTCTCACACACTAGTGAAAGCACGTGTATGAAATTTGTTTTTGACCATTTCTGTTTGATTTGCAGGTTTTCTTCGCGTTGCGCAGCGAGTACTTCAAAGCCCTTCTGGCGGACCATTTCTGTGAGGCGGAGCACTCCAGTGATGGCATTCCCCGCATCAACATTCGCGGTGTGCACCCGCAGGTGTTCGCGGCCATCGTGCATTACGTCTACACCAACCAAGTCATTACAGAGGTGAGCAATATCCCTTCTTTCACTGTCAATCGGACTACGCAGTGGTTGGCCCAAGTGTCCTTGCAATTGTTTTACTCCCAAAATACCCATGTTGTGGTTCTGATTCCAGCTTCCCGAGCGCCTGCTGCTTGAGCTGCTCACCACAGCTGACATGTACCTGCTGCCGGGGCTCCAACGAGCTTGTGGCCAGGTTCTGGCCAACAGGCTGTCAATCCACAATGTTTTGACTAAAATACGTCTAGCTCGATTTTTCGACCTTCAGCAGCTCGAGAACCAGTGCACAAGTTTCATTGCTGCTCATATAGAAAAGGTATTCTTTTTCTATTCATTTTGATACAATTTTTTAAATTCTCCTCTTTGCTAATTTACATTTTAATATTCATTTCCTTTTTAGATGAAAGATATGCCCGAACTTCAGGAATTGATTCTGCAGGACGCGGATGAAGTAGAAGGACGACAAGAAACTGACACAATTCCTATAATTGACGATATGCGATACCACATTACCTTGGCCGTACAGGATATGAGCTCCATGAGCGAGGCACAAGATAAACTTCGCATCATTGATGATTTGCTGGAGGAGCTTGGACTTGATGCTTGAGCCTAGTTTTCCAGTCCCTGTTTTAATTTTGAGGGACTTAAGTTTATCGTGTCTTAGAGAAGATGGTGCAAAAGAGACAGGAACAGAATGATGTTTCATAACACTCTAAAGAATGTGAATGAATATAGTATTTTTGCATACCTTTCCTATTTTATTGATAGGAAGCATCAGTTGATGTCAGATCAATCAAAAGAAATTTAAAACTGTGATTTGTAAAGGACAATGGAATTTTCTTGTTAATAATTTTGCTTCAATATTAGGTTTGATTTTGAATCCTTTTAGGCACATGAATTGTATGTTGATAGTCAGAAATTTGATACTTATGTCACTTGATCGTGTATGACCCCTCACAGTCAATATTTAGTTTGGATTTGAAAGTCCTTTTGCAATGTCTAGCATTTTTGCACAGGTAATGATGAGTTTAACTTTAATACCACACCTTTTTAAAAAGATGCCATTCCTTGCATGTACTAGTAGTAAGAAAACTAATTATTATGTTTTGGCTGTGGGACCTGGGTGCTGGTCAATGCTGTATATTGGCACTTTACTTTTTATTATTTCCTTTGTTCTAAGTTGGGATTTAAACTTTAGTGTTCATTGCTATGAAAGAGTTTTGCTTCCAATAACGCAAGTTTGTCTGCTGTGCAGACTTTAATTTAAGTTTAATTTAATTTTCGTGAAATGAGGTGTTTTGCACAATAACGTACTACAGGGAAAACTAGTCTTTTCCCCAAGAATTTTCTGTTATATACGTTTCTCTGTAGCGGATGCAATTTGTTGTTGTTTTTTATGTTTGTTTTCTCCATTAGTATTTTAAGACTTGCGGGCAGGTCGCAATTTAAATGAGAGCTTTATCATATTTAGGAAAAATAGGCTCAATAATATGTACAAATTGGTCATCCTAAAGCTGTGCAAAGTATGCTGCTAGTCAAGCAAGTACGACGTTTACAATGACAATGTAGGCCGCTTGTATCTAACATGTTCACATTAGTTTTCGTGTAAGAGAAAAGTTACTTTGTAGTAATCTTTTCTGTAAATTACTACGCTTTTCACCCTCTTCAATTTTTCTTTAGCTTGGAGGTTTACTTATGATGTCTGTGATTTAGTGTCTCAATGTTAAATAAAACATTCTTGAAAATAGAAAAACTCAGTAATTCATTTAACATGTCTCGAGGTAGGCAACCCATCATCCACAGCCTCTTCACCGCACCAGAACTTGAGTGTGGGTAAGAGAAATTTAAGAAATTTGTTAACCACTACTTGTATTTCAAAAGTAAAGTTTTTACAAGAATCAAAGGAGATTCTGGGGTTCAAGTTCATACCACCAGATAAATTGATGAATCAACACAAATTAATTTCACAATTAAAAAGGAGATAAAAATATACAGGAACAAACAAAATCACCATATTATCACCTTGCTGGATGCAAGTTTAACAGCACAGTAGTAACAAATGTGGGCAGTGAAGAGCACACTAATGCAATGAGTACAGCTCTCTTGGACCAGTTTTGACCCTTTACATACCAACACGAAATCACAGATTCAACTTTCAAAAATTACTTTGCACTTGGCAACAGATAACTTTTAAAAGATAAACATGTCAACATGTCACAAGGGAAAGGCAGTATAGAAACCATGATTTTCTGACTCAAGGTCACAATAAAAGTTCCAAAATACAGAGGTTCTTCAACAGCTGTATGCAATGACATACATAAAAAACAATTGCTAAAATTTATGTACAATTGCAACACTTAATAATTAATGAATGTATCTAAAGTCCATAATTGCGTAACAATCCATGCAAAATTTTGAAGGAATGAGTGTTTTAAACAAGTATTGTGGAAACTAAATTCTTTGAAGATTGGACACACTTGAACAAACAATGTCAATCTTAATATTGACCTACACTTAGTTGGCATATGATTTGATCTACAACAAATCAAACTATCAATCCTACCAAAACAGTGCAAGGTAATTACATTTCAAGCTCAAGAATCAAATCATTCTTGAAGTCAGAGCACTCAGGCTTTGTGGCAGTTTTGACATTATCTGCATCTGAAACTTTCTTTCCCTTCTTCTTTTTCTTCTTCTTTTTCTTATCTTCAGTCTTCTTGTCTCTCTCATCTTCAGAACTTTCTGCATGATCAACAGATGATTGCAATGCCAGCACTGGGGCTTCGGCAAGGACAGAGTCACCGGCTGAGTCAATAGGTTTTAACATCCCGCTTTGAACATCCTCGATGTCTGAGCTATTCACTCGACGCAAAATTTTCTTTGCTTGAGGGATGTTTTGCTCTACTTGAAGTTCTTTCAGGAATTTGCTCTTGCCCTTTTCTTCCAAATCGGAGATTTCTCCTTCCGAGTGCACAGCTCGACGACGAGCTTTATCCACTTCAGAGTCAGGTTCTGAGTTCTCACTTTCACTAGCTCGCCGTTCTTGAGCTCTCTTCTTGTTTCTCTGCTTGCGTTGGTTCTTCTTTTTCTGACCCATAATGCTTGAGTGAGGCCTGAAACAAAACGAAATTCACAATAGAGAGAATAGTTGATTTAGCCCCAGCAATTAGGAATGGAACGGTAGATGAACTCTCCAATTTACCTGAACGTCTGCTGAGAAACAATATCATTAAAGCGAACACTCTTCTTCCTTTGACGACCACCACCTTCATTCTCAGTGTCACAACCAGTTTCGCTTCCAGCCTCTCCAATGCACAACACAGAGCCCATCAGTGAACTAGGTGCAGATTCATCACTGAGGCTAGTGGATTGGTAAAAAGCATAGTCGTCAGCATTAGACTCAGAGAGACTGCGAAGGGGACGTTTCTTCAAAATACCTCTTATTTTTTTACCATCCTGGAAGCAGAAGAAGAAAAATTACTAAGTCAAGGTACTTAAAACTTTTTTTTTTTTTTTTTTACATAAAATTATCAGAGGAAGTACTAACCCGATCATCACTGCTGCACTCAGAGAGCTGTCTGACAGCATTCCTGCGGCCTTTCTCAAGGCTTGTGTCTTGAGAAGATAAGTTTTTTGCAGGCTCAGATTCAGGGACAGCTTCAGCAGAATCTTTTTCAGAGCTCTTTCCTTCCATCTCAAATGGTTGTATTTCCAGAACTAGTTCATTCTCCTCAGCAGTATGAACTTCAACGAAGGGCGATTGAGATACAGTTTTCTCAGTCATTTCCTGCAATGTAAACACATTCACTGATATTAATTTGCACTGAAATAATAATATTTAACATTTAAAATTATTTTTTTTTAATTTTTCATTTCTATTAATATCTTATTGCGCTTTCACTCACCTGAAGATCAGCTATCTTCTGCTCTATTGCAGTAAGATTTGTGACATCTCTTTCCTGCAAGTCATTTAGTCCTGTACCAACCAAGACTTGAGAGATAGGTGATCCAGCGGGAGTCACACTGAATTGAGCCACAACATTGTTATCCCATATTTCCACAGTTAGGGACTCTGGCACAACAAAAACATCGCCAGGAAAAGCCATACAAAAACTGTAGGATTGGGGAAACAAACCTCCACCCAAGGAAGAAAAGGAAAGTTTGATTCCTTCATCATTAGAGAGGATGCTTTGCTTCATTGAATTGCTTTCCACGTTTTTAACATGAAGCACTACTGCAACCATATCATTCAAAGTATTCCATGAATAATTTGGCAGCATGCAGGCAACATCCTTCTCAAGCAAGCTGTCATGATGGGAGGAAGTAAGACCCTGCGTGTCTTCAATAGATAATTCTTGCAATGAAATTGGGTCACATGGATCATTTCCATTGTCACTGATGTCACTTGGACTCTTTTCATCAGAATCTTCATCGGGTCTAGAACCAGGGTCGCTTTCCACTCCACTATCTTCTCGACCAACATCAATTATCACAGGTGCTGTCTTCTTGACAGGCACTTCTATTAACAATCTCCGTAAAGAAACATCAAAATTGGCATTGCCCGCATTTTCATCAACTCCATAAGGCAGGACCAAATCTAGCTTGTATTTTGGTTTCTCACACTGCAGAGCAAGTGACTTATGGGACACATCCAAGGATAAGTCCTTAGCAGAATTCAGAAGAGGAAGATCAATGGAGATGACAAGTGCTTTAGGCACCGTGGCATTCAGTCTTGATGATGCATCATTAGTAAAGTCTGACAAGTCAACGCCATGTCTATACTTGATAGAATACTTAGGCTCAGTGTACCCTGTAGATTTTTCTTGCTTTTTAACAGGAGTCTTTTCATTTTCAACCTTGGTCCATGAATTTTCTTCAGGTGGGTAAGGTACTTGATCCAAAAATCCAGCAGCATCCTCAGCTCCTTTATAATTAGGTATCTTCTTTCGGATAACTGCAGCTTGCGGCAGACCTTTGTAGGTCATTTTGGGGTATTTTAAATTAATTCGGTCTAGTTTAACTTTGCAATTGTCTTGGACTGCATCAAGTGCTGTGTTGATGAGCATTTTGCGAAACTCAGAGTTTTTCTCCGCCAGTTTGTGAGTTTCTGGGTGGAAAACAACGTCAAAGACAGTACAGGGTTTTCGGAGTTTGTCATAATCTTCTCTTGGCGGGGCCAAAGAAAACGGTAGAGACCATCTTTGCCCCTGAGTTCCTTCCTGAGAAGCAGCAGTCGAGGACGGTTTGTCAACTTGGTCATTTTTGCTGATGTTGATGAACGCTTTGCGCTCACCATCAATGCTGCTCTTGACAACAAAGCCTGGCTCTGGGTTGATGAACGTGACATCAACGCCACGTTGTTTTTCAAGCTCTCTAACTTCTTGTTGGTATTGTTTCTTACTTTCAGGGCTTGTCACTTCTTCGCAGTATTCGACAAATAGCTTACGGAATTCGTCTTGCTGCAGAGCCTTGCCAATGTTATTAATCTCATCCCTGGTGATATTCAAGTCTTCGAATCGCTTCTTCCGTGCCTCCATGAGCGGCTGGTGCGGCTAAGGGGTCCGGAGCAGGAGCTCTCTTGGTGAAGAAGGAAATCAACTGGGAACCAATTTTCGAAACGTTGACAAACTTGAAATGAAAGCGAAGCAAATTGCGAGTGATGCTCGTGGCACACGGGACGTAGTGCGCGAGGTAGCCGGTTCCGGGTTGACACACTAGGATGATTTTCAGCCGAACTTGGGGTTGAAAACAAGGGTGAAAGGGTCAAAGTCACAACTTAATGGATCTTTGCGACACAAACTGCGACTCGAAACTACTCAGACACTGCGAACGATGCAAGTCAGGCACTTTTCACGCCATTCACAGAGTCCCTTCGCAGCAGCCAATGAGGGTCGACCCAACAACCAAACTTCTAGAACAACAACAACAAAAACAAAAATTTGCAGTCGACAAAACAAAACACGGGTGATGGTTGGCACACGTGTATCGAGCTGAGTTCTCTACACTTTAACTGCAATTACTAAATTTGCTTGACTGCATGAAGCTGAGCAAACGATCCAACGAACAGGGATGCTGAAATAGGGACATTGCCGCTTAGTCCGGCTCCCACTGGCAGTAGAGAGCTGCTCCCTTCCTCCCCGGAGACAGACCCCGTCTGCTGTACAGTTATGTTGGCTACTTGTGGAAAGTTCCACATGTCGCCACTGGTAGCGCTAGCGGCGCTAGCCGTGTGTTGGCGGGCGTTTCAAACTCCTCTTCACCCAACTCAACCAGGGGGCGGGAAAGGGAAATGGGAAGAGAGGGGGAGGGTGCCCCCCGGCCGGGCCCTCGGATCGGTGCGTGTGTATACATTACAGTATCACTACGTCGGGCTGTCCGTCTGTCCGTCCGTTTATCTCGCTGCTCCTTGACCTCCGGAGGCCGCGCGGTCACCCTCGCGGCTCGCGCCCTGCCCTGCAGACTGATTCCGAGAGTCGTTTTCGTCGCACCGTCTCTCTCGCGGCTGTGCAGGACGCCCCATGGGTGCGAGAGAGACAGAGCGACGAGAACGACTCTCGGAATGAGTCTGGCGCGGCGGGCCTTGCAGGCCTTGGCGTCTTGGCGGGCCCCTTCAAGTAGTCGGCGAGAAGACCACGGCGCCGCAAGGCTCGCAAGCCCCTCGTTCAGATCGCGGAAAACGGATCGTCGCGCCGCGGACCTTCCGGACCGCCCTCCGAGTCGCCTGCCGGTCAGGATGGTGGCCAGCATGTCGTGGCCGCGGACCGCCTGCGTCGGCCTGCTCGCGCTGCTGTGCGTCTCCCTGAGCCCCTCGAGCGCGCGACCGTCGTCAGGTAGGGTGGCTTCGAGAAGGGGGCGGCCGGTTTGGTCCTTCCAGTAAACTACTACCCGGACCGCTCCACACACACGCAAACAAACACGCGCGCACGTGGCCGCGCGGGGTTTTGCAGTGGCGTCGTCAACAGTGTGTATGGAAGATACGCGGCCTATCAGATTAAAATTTGGTGTGTCAACACCACGTCTGCCGAATCGGCGCGCGTCACGACTCGCGCCTTTGGCCGTGGAGAGGGAATTCCCTGCCCAGTGGAGGGAACGCCGTCAGTGGAGCACGCTGTCAGTGGAGCACGCTGACAGTGGAGCACGCTGTCAGTAGGGCGCTGTTAGTAGAGCACGCAGTCAATGGATCACTGTCAGGGGAGCGCTTTCAGTGGGGTGGTGCTGTCAGTGGAGCGCTGTCAGGGAGCACTGTCGCGATGGCAAGGCCGTAGTTGATTAGGTCTGGATAACAACTCTTTATACGTAATCGTCTTGTTTTGACAGAGTCGGCGGAGGCGACCACTGTCTCGAGCGTCCAGGACGAGGAGTGCTTGACGGAGGGATGCAACCGCACAGGTAGGCTTCAAAGCAACACTGCAGTACTGCCAAAAGTAGGCAAAACAACCCCACCGTACATCTGTGTCGAACCTCCACCTGCCAACTACGAGGGTGACTCTTCGGCGGCTTGCCTATCCGGCTTACAGTGGCGAGCTTGGCGCGGGCCATGAACCTGTCCATCAACCCCTGCGACGACTTCTACCAGTTCGCGTGCGGCCGGTACGTGAGGGACACGCCGCTGCCGCCCAACAAGGGCACCGTGAGCGTGGTCTCGCAGCTGGAGGACGTGCTGCGCGAACAGCTTCGGGAGCTGCTGGCGGAGGCGCCAGGCCCGGGCGAGCCCGCCGCCTTCGGCAAGGCCAAGACCCTGTACCAGTCATGCATGAACACGAGTGAGTGAGAGAGGCGGCTCAGATTTTGGGTACGGCGCCGTATGGCGTACAAGAAAAATCAGAAAGTGAAAACATTTTGTATCGCAGCGCGTTTGGAAGAGCTCGGCGTCGAACCCGCGAAGAAAATACTGGCCACTCTGGGAGTGCCGTCGTGGCCGATTCTGGAGAGCGACGCCTGGGATGACAGCGAGTTCGACTGGCAGAACATGAGCTTCAAGTTGATGGAGATGGGCCTGTACGACGACTTCATTTTCGCCTATGGCGTGGAGATCGACATCAACAACACGGCGCGGCACGCGTTGAAGGTGAGTTTTGCAGTGACTCCGCGAGGGGCTGGGGGCCCCTGCGTTGAAGTTGCCGACCTGGAGGTACAGCCTGGGCTCGTGCGTAGCGAGATACCGGAAATCCGGTAGCGATACCAAGTGAGCCTCTAGACTCCTGTGTCCGTAGACCCAGGTGCCCAACGTCCACGCGGTTCTCTTTGCCTGCAGGTGGAGCCCCCCGAGTTCAACCTGGACCTCGTGGGGCTGGACAACGTGACCAGGACGATGCACGTGCAGGAGTACCTGTACGAGCTGCTGGAGACGGCCAAGATGCTGCGGCCCGAGGTCGCCGATCTCGTCAACACCAACAAACTCTCACTGTTGCAGGAGGAGACCGAGAAGGTCGCCACCCTGGAGATCACCTTGAACTTGGTGAGCAGACCGACAACGTTACACTGCATAACCCGAAAGGGGTGTGCACGGGTGTGCGTGCGCTCTCTATCCCTGTGGCCCAACTCTAAAACGCTCTTACGCCTGAAAATTATCGGGGTTCAGCAGATAAACAGTCCAAAACTACCAAACTGTAGATTAAGTTAGGAAAATTTCGGCTATTAGGCCACTATTACATGTTTATCCCCTCGGCCAATAACTGCGGAAAATTATTTTAATTGTAACAGTGCACCATGTCCCTGGAGGACCGCCGCAACCTGACGCTGGGGCTGACCGAGATGCCCCTGTCCAGGCTGCAGGAGATTTACCCGTACGTGTCGTGGCTCAACTACACCAAGCACATGCTGCCCCCGGGCGCCAACGTCACCGAGGACGAGAGCGTCGTCGTCGTGGACGTCGTGTTCATGGCCGCGCTGGGCAAGATCATGGAGGCCACTCCGAAAAGGCGAGTCTTTCAGGCTACAAACGTCTCCAACACACACTTACATGAGCATTTGGCAAGGACTGCTGCTTGAAATCTGCATCGTGTTCACGTTCATGTTGATGTCGCGGCCTGCAGGGTGCTGGCCAACTACCTAGTGTGGCGCGTGCTGGAGAACACCGTGATGGACGTGCTGAACGAGAAGGCCCGGAGCATCGGCGTCAAGCGGAAAATGGCGCGCTGGGAGGAGTGCGTCAAGGCCGTGCAGATTGGCATGCGGATGGCCACCTCGGCCATGTACGTGCGCAGGCACTCGTCCGAGGAGGCGCGCAACAAGACCGTCGAGATGGTGCAGGACATCAGCAAGGAGATGCACCGCCTGCTCGACTCCGTGGACTGGATGGACCCGAAGACGCGGTAAGTCCCCTCCCTCACGGTCCTATCTGAGTGCCTTCATGTTTTTTGGGTGGCAATTTTGAATGACTGTCTTGTTTTCTGTCCGCAAGGCGCGCTGCCATGATGAAGGCCGAGGTGATGCGTTACAACGTGGCCTACCCGCAAGAACTGCTCAACGACACGCTGCTGGACCAATTCTACGAAAAGGTAGGGTTCCTTCTTAAAAAGCTAGCTGACTCAAGGACGGATAGGAGGAGCGGCGATGATCGCAAAAAGTTGCCCACTTACAGGGGCGAAGTGCGACTTTTTTCCTGCCTTTCAGGCGGCCTCTCCTCCCCCGCCCCTCCCCCTTGATCCGCGCCTGAGCTGACTTCGGTGTCTGAAGGTAAAACCACTGATAATACACTGTTCACAATGTTTTCCAGTTGGAGGTCCAGCCCAACGACCTGCTGGGCAACACGCTGGCCGTCGAAAAGCGAAGGTTTGACAGGTCCATGGCCAAGTATCGAACGAAGGTCCAGAAGTACCACTGGTCATTCATCTCCGGCATAGCCGACATCGTCAACGCCTTTTTCCTGCACAGCGACAACAGTCTGAGTAGGAGAGCTATGCAATGCGTACCAGTGCAGAGAAAACGACGGCTAGCGGACTCACAGCTTGCAACTTGCAGGCATTCCCGCCGGCCTGATGCAGGGCGCCTTCTTCCAGAAAGACCGGCCGCAGTACATGAACTACGGCGGCATCGGGTTCGCCATCGGGCACGAGGTGTCGCACGCCTTCGATGAAACGGTGAGGCCACCACCGGGCCAGCGCGCTGCAGCGCCTTGCCCAGCCGTCCCGAAGAGCCGCGTCGTCGCTCTGTCTCTGTCGCACTCAACGCCAGAGACGGGGCGGCGAAACGAGTGTCTGGACATCATCAACACCCCGAGGTTTCTAAGAGGCGGTGACTCTTGCAGGGCGGCCTCTTCGACATGAACGGGCTGCTGGCCAACTGGTGGGACGTGGAGACGAAGAAGCTGTTCGACGAGAAGGTCCGTTGCATCGTCGACCAGTACAGCAGCATGAAGGACCCGAACATCAACGTCACGGTGAGTGTCGCACCGATTTCAAGTTCAAGTTGAGTGGCCACCTGGCATCGAAGGTACGAAGGTAGTGTGCTGCCACAGGTGAACGGGATCCTGACGCAGAGCGAGAACATCGCGGACAACGCGGCGCTCAAGCTGGCGTACCGCGCGTACATGCGCTACACTGCGCGGCACGGCACCGAGCCCCGCACCACCGTCAAGGTGCTGGACGACGACAAGCCGCGCACCGTCACGCTCAAGCCGCGGCAGATGTTCTGGGTGTCGTTCGCCTCGGCGTGGTGCTCCAAGGAGACGCACAAAGACCTCAACCTCCAGCTACGGACCAAGTAAGATTTCCGTAAATAGAAGCACACTGGTAACAGAAGCGTACTTTTACGACCTTTTCAAGCATTTTGGTCAGCTTCGACTTCACTTCAATTTTAACAGTGTAAACATATATCTACTTAAATCTTAAATGAAATCGTTTTTCATTGCAGCTCTCACCTGCCGGGCGTCCACCGCGTCAACGGCGCTGTGAGCAACACGGAGGAGTTCGCTTCGGATTTCAAGTGCCCCGTCGGCTCCCCCATGAACCCCGTGCACAAGTGCCAAGTTTGGTGACGAGGGTTGAAGGTCGAAGCGTCCTGCGAGACGCTTCTCTTTGACGGTAGCTCATGCTCATGGGGTGCACACTCATATAGGTTTACACATGCATCTAGTCGCCACAACATCGTTATTTAATTTTACTTTATATTAATAAGTCGTTGCACATTGTTATAATTTAATTTTTTTAGAATAAAGCATTTGAAAAGTGCGTTCTGTATTTATTCCCTTTGAAACAATGAGGTGAACACGCCTTTTGACGGCTACCTATGTCGCAAGGCAGTTTGAAAGTTTTAGCGGGAGCAGACAATTCGCTCCAACAACACACCGCAACAAAAAACATAAAACGGCACATCAAAGTTTTGTCTTTTAAGAGAAGGTTGACTGCAAGGAAAAAGAGAAAATATTTAAAAATGAAAAATTTTAGTCAGAGGTAGTTTTTACGCAAACTAGGAAAGCTTAAAGCTTGGCGCAGGGCTGAAAGGAAGTTGAATTAACTTTGCTAGGTTGGTGGTGCTTAAGGAAGACGAGTCAGTGAAGACAAAAGAGCATCTGTTATTGTGACATTTCTTCTGCGCACGTTTCGTGTTGTTTACTTGTGAAATTCCTGCAATTCCAACAGGAATTTCGCTATTGAACAGGATCTTCACTCTTCAGAATGACTACAGCAGCACGACCCACCTTCGACACAGCCAGGGGAGGATCTGGTAGGGGTGAGAAAGATCTTAGTGCTCTCTCCAAGCAGTACTCTAGCAGAGATCTTCCTGGTCACACCAAATTAAAATACAGGTACGTTCATTAATAATTTTGATTCATTCTATTGGAAATATTGTCTACCTTGTGGTTCCTGGACTGGGGTCTGAATGTTCTCAGTATTCCATGCCTTCATTAACGTAGCACATAACCTCGATCTGGTGGACTCTTCAGCACTCTTTGGTTCTATTTTGCAGAGAACATGGGCAAGGAACTTCCGAGGAATTGAGGGTGCGCGATTTCCGTAAGGAGCTCGAAGAGCGCGAACGCGAGAAGGAGAAGGAAAAGGACAAGACCCGACGCCCAGCCATTGAACAGCGTGATGCGACGTAAGAAAAAGTTCAAGTCTCTTGTGGTCTTTTCTCTCATGTGTGGCTTTTTTCCTACCAAGGCTTGCTGTGTGTTTCAGAAAGCGACCCAGACTTGACCAAGCACCAGCTGCTTCACTAGATGCAGATGACCCATTGGAATCAGAAGACAGCAGTGACGATGACAGTGATGACGACACCGCAGCTCTTCTGGCAGAATTAAATCGCATTAAAAAGGAGCGTGCTTCTGATCAGGCCAGAAAGGTGAGAGGGCATTCAAACATGCTTCACTCAATTTTCCCTGTGCAATATCTGACAGTATCTTTTCTTTGCTTTGCAGGAAGTTGAGAAGCGACAGGAAGAGGAGCGGATTCGAATGGAAAATGTTTTAAGTGGAAACCCCCTTTTAAATTATTCAGCCCAAGCATCTAAAGGGGATCTTAAGGTAAGTTTCTCTCTGCAATTTATTATAAATCATTTTATTGTGGTTTATCGTTTGCTTGTGTCTCAGTTGACTGCCTTGTTTTGGAGAAATCTTAGTCTATCCTTTCATTTTCATAGGTGAAGCGCCGGTGGGATGACGATGTTGTGTTCAAGAACTGTGCCCGTTCTGAACCTGACAAGAAGAAAGAGCAGTTCATCAACGACTCTCTGCGATCAGACTTCCATAGAAAATTCATGGAAAAGTATGTTAAATAAGAACACCTGTATCTCTGTGAAAATTCTTTTTGTTCTTTGGACTAACGTTTGTGTATTTGTCTAAGTGTACATATGTTTTGAAGTTTTCTTTTTTTTTTCCCTTGTGTCTTAAGTATAAATGTCTTTTTCTTTTCTTATGAGTTGCTATAGAAGCTAGCAAAAACATTGAACTTTGATTAAATTTTTAATGAACATGAACAGCACTCTGTATACAAATAAAACCTTTCTTAAAAAAAGAAAAAAAAAAACAGTAACAAAATTAAAGTTTATTTATAGGGTTGTGGATTTGTCCCAAAAATCCCACTTTGTTTCGTGGCTGTACGTGAAGGAGCAAATCCAAGTATCTTCTGAGTGTTCTGCAAAGAAATTCACAATTACAAAATTTGATAAAGGTATGATTTGTGTGTAATTAATACTAAATCCACTCAGTTACCTGACGAATAGACATAGTGCAAAGGATGTAGAGGAAAATGAAGGAGCAGTCATAATAATCATCCCCTGGCAAATTGCGGTGGGACAGTCCTTGGATCCAGGATATGGGCAAGAAAGGCAGTCTAGCAACAACACGACCATCGAATCTAGAATGAAAATAAACATGTTAATCTATCCTAAAGTAATCAACATTAAGTTTATGATTCAATGAAAACTTACATGTTGTTAAACATGCTCAAAAGTGCTGTGAATGCAAAACCAATGGCAAACATAGATTTCATCTTAACCAAGGATAGATCTCTATTATTTTGCTTCAGTCTCTCTTCCTCTCTATCCATTTTCTTCTTCTGTTGTTTGTCTAAAGAAGATTCTCCATGAGCTTCTTTCATCTTCTCCACTGGCAGAAAAAATAAAGAATAACGTTAGAACAATTTATATCCATAAGGGTGACAAATTAACTATCAAGTGAAGTTCACTTTCATGTGTTGCTAAGGATTATGGGACAAAAGGGGTAAAAAAGCATTACTCACGTCTTTTGCTTTGACGCTCCACCTCAGACTTCAGTTTTTGGTACTTTTCTGTGCGATAAACCATCAGCCATGTTAAACCTGGAAATTCATTTAAAAAATTCAGTCACATGCGTAACATTTAAAAATTTCAACCAGATGTTTGTTCAACACGAAAATCTGAAGCCAATTTTGTAATTTCCCTTTAATTTTTGAAATGTTGACGAAGCTTTAACCTAAATTTACTTACCTTCTCCTAAAAGTGCCGTACAAACTGATATGAATACTATCAGTAAAGTATCTGCCCACATTTTAGGGAAGACTGCTTATACCAGAATTCTCCAGTAAAGTGTAAAATCCACGCCCACAACACAAAATTCGGGAAAATAATTGAAATATCCGGTAGACGACGGCAATTTTCCTCGTCGTGTAAGCACTGTGTACTGCAAATAGTAGTCAAACCCATTATCTGCATTCATTACACTATTCGCACCTCGCATCATGTTGTTCAAGGAGTGTTGAGTGTTGACTGTTATTTTTTCGTGTAATTTCTAAAGGCAATAATGTCGTCTATCTTTAAAAGTCATGAGGGATTCTGCCCCGATTGTGGTTCAGTGTTACCCTTACTTCAAGGAATTGGTGGTGTGACGTGTTACACTTGTAAACATGTATTCAGCCCTGAAGGTAAGATAACCTTTAAATTCATGCTTGCTTTCCGTAGTCATGAGTTTCTAGTTTGGAGGGTGGTTTGTGGTCTATTCTTCAAATTACTGTAGAACTTTAATTATAATTTTCGTTGTTTCTTCTTAAGAACAAAGGAGCGTCTTGTCCTTGTAGAATTTTATGTGATTGTTTTGATTTATAGCGCTTACGTTCTTTTCCTTTGCAGTATTTGGAAAAATGGAATCTACTTATACTATCCAATTTAACACGAGACCAACAGCAGATTCTTACTCGAAGAAGAAGAAGAAAAAGTCATTTTCAAGTGAGGAACCTGAAGGCCCGGTTGTGGAGAGACGATGCCCAGCTTGCAAAAATGAAACTATGTCCTATGCCACATTGCAATTGCGTTCAGCAGATGAAGGACAAACTGTCTTCTATACATGCACAAAGTGCAAGTATGTATCTGAAGCATTATTGTTTCTGCTACAATGCATGTTATTAGTGTTTGTTTTTATAATTTCTTTTCTCTTTTTCAGGTACAAAGAGACTGAAAATTCATGAAAATGTTATCCTATTTTGTATTTAATAATGTCTTTTTCCTTTTTTTAAATCATTGTGAATTATAATTTACTAACCACTAGTCTTGAAAGATTATTTGTTCATCTGGAGGGGAAATGAAATTACTTAAAACATCTCTTCACATTTATTCATTGTTTGTACATCTATACTTTTATCACATATGTACACTCAGGTACACTTTTACACAGAATCATTCATTCACACTGACTAGACTTCCGCAAAGCACTCCCCTAAAAAGTTCTCCAGTGTATGATAGAGGTGTTTTTGCAGTTGCACAATACCATGTTCCTCATCTGGGTAGGTCTGAAAGAAAGAAGAAACAGTTTTAAAAAAAGCTCTGCAAGTACATTATAATTATCACTTCTATGAAAGAAGTCTTACCTGCTGTCTGAAGAGAATATCATTCCTCCAGAGCCCTGGACAAGATCATCGACTGCTGGTAATGTACATTATCATCCAGCGTGCCATGGATGAGCAAAAACAGTTTATGCCTTAAGTGTCAGTTGGTTGCGAACCACTGTCCCTGTTGCAGTGGCGGTAGCGGCAGCGGCGGGCGCGGCAATCATATTGCTATTGCAGTTTGAATGGTCCTCCGGAAAGGAGACTAGCTCGATAAGTATGCAAAATTGTGCACCCAGTTGATTCAACATAGAGTCCTAAGGACTCCAATTCAACATATTCAACATAGAGTCAGAGTCCTTAATGCCGGCATTAAGGACTCTAATTCAACATCGCATTGCACTTTATACATCGCGTTACATCCACTAGATCCAGTGCTTTAAAACAATGCCGTCGTCGTCGCCGTAGCCATACTGTTTTCGAGAGGGAAGGTCGTCTCCCTCTCGGGCTCCTGGGGCGCTCCACCAGTGCGACAGAGACAGACGGTCTGTCGCAGACCGACGGCCGCCCTGCATCAGCCTACAGGAGAAGCAGCTCGCTAATTTCATCTGACAACGAACCGCCGCCGCGCCGGCCTCCGCGCCCACTACGTCTACGCCGTGCGCACGCGTTTTGACTTTGACTACGCGGGTCGCGGGGGGCGGCGGGGGGCGGTGGGGCACCGGGGTCGGGAGGCTGGGCAGGCTGGGTGGGCTGAGCGAGCGGGTTAGCGGGTCGAGTCGGACTCAGACGCGGCGTGCGGTGAGCGGCGCGGGCCCCTCAGTCAGTCGCAGTCCCGACGCAAGGCCCCTCCGATCAGAGCCGCCCCGCGGCGCGACGCGCGGCTGCCACGGCCAGGATCACGACGACGACCACCACGACGCGGAGCTCGGCGACGGGGCATGCAGCGGCGGCGGCCCGTCGAGGGAACGACGAGGCCGTGTCGGGAGCAGTAAACAGTGCGCCTCGTCCTGAAGGCTGGACATCGATGTCGACACAGCCGGCCGCCGAGACTCGAAGACGCCGACGACGCAGCGCGCGCAGCGGCAACGCGCGGCAACGCCAGAACAAACCCGATGCGCGGCGCGCCGCAAGCAGCAAGCAGCCGCAAGCCGAGCGGGGCGATAACAGTTAACAACGATTGACCTGCCAGCCTGGCCTGCTGCCTGGCCTAGCCTGCAGCCGCCGCGACAGTCCGGTCTTCCCTGGGGCCATGCGCCACTGCCTGCGCCACTGCCAGCGCCACTGCCACTGCCGGGGACGCTCTCTCGAGTAACGTGCGCGCCGCGCTGGACTCGACCGTCTCGACGGCCATGGCCTTGGCTGCCTCGGCGCCGCCCGGGCCCTCCGGAGGACGGTGCCACCGGCAGCTGTGGGCCGCCGTCGTCGTCCTGGCGGCCTGCTTGGCGGCCTGCGTGCCGGCCGCCGCCGCCGCCCCCAAGGCCAACTCCATCCCCTCGACGAACGCGGTGAGTACTGTAAGTGCTCTTCCCTCCCTAGCCGGTGGCGGCGGTGCGGTGGCGGAGCGGGGACGGCTGGGGGAGCAGTGCAGGGTAGCAGAGCACCGGGCGCACAGTGGGCCAGAAGACCGGTGGAGGCGGCCAAAACTCTAGTCGCGTTTTGAGCTCCATAGAGTCGCTACGTGTGACCCCACCAATGGATTCCTCGTTCGAAGAGCAATCCTTTGGTGGGGTCACACGTTCGGTTCGAGTCCTGTTTAGCGACTCTGGAGCTCAAAACGCGTCCTCGAGTTTCGGCCGCCTCCGCCGATCTTCTGGACCACGGGTGGCCGCGTCGACGCGAGCGTTGACGTTGGCGTCGGCGACCGGAGCGCCGCGCCGGTCCGCGCATACTTCCACTGCTGGACGGACATGCAGATGACTGGTGAGGCAGGGAAGTCCCTGCAACTTTCACTTCCGCGAAAAACCTCGGACGCGTCTGACTCTTTCTGGGCGGGGTGCGGGGTGCAACACGGCGCCAGCGGCGGGGCCCTGCCGGCAGACAGGGCGGCAAAGGCCTCGGCGAGGGCAGGGTCGAGGCTCGGCTCTCCTCCAATGACCCATATAGTAGTGCCGCGGCACCTTCGGACACCTTGGCAGACTGACAATTGTGCCTCTCGGCCGAAGCGTATGTGGGTGCCCTGTGCCCCACCCTCTCCGCTCTGCGAGTGTGTGTGTATGTGTGTGCACGTGTGTGTGTGTGTGTGTGTGTGCACGTGCGTGTGCGTGCGTGCGAGTGTCAGTCGGTGACACGAACACTCGTCCCTTGAAAATATGTCCCCGCGACAATTCGTCCCCAGTTAATCTGTCCTCGGATAAAATGTCCTCAAAAAATTCGTCCCCGATTTATTTTGTCCTCAGTGACGTTTCGTCCCCACTATGAATTTAGTATGGGGGGGGGGGGTGTTAGTAACTGTTACCAGAATTTAGTGGCCAACATTATTGTGGCCGCAGGCGCGGAGATACTCCAGGACTCGGCCCTCCTCCTTGAACTGCCCATAGGACTCGGCCAGGCGCTGCAGTCGCTGGTTGATGCGCTGGTCACTCATAATTTTGAATTTTGAAAATTGTTTGTGGCCGAACTTGTTTCTAAGGAAAGCTTCGGAGACCGAGTCCCATTGTTGAAGGCAAGTGCAGCCCGCGCAGCCGGGAGTATAGCCCGCGCAGCCGGGAGTATAGCCAATTTTTTCGGCGTGCATACCCCCTCTCCCATTGCGGGTGGGGACGAGTGCGGTCGACAAGTGAGGACAAGAAATGCGGGGTTGGAACCGGGGACAAAATTTCGCCGGGGACAAATAAATAGGGACGAAATGTGTGAGGACAAAACAGCTGGGGACAAAATAGCGTGGGGACAAATCAGTCGGGGACGAATAGTCATAGATCCGTGTCAGTCGTCGCGGTGGCGCAAAGTAGCAGGGCAGGGAAGACTTTACCGTGCCTCGTTGACGATCAACCTGTCGCGAGCTTGCAGAGCGCAATCCCCGCGCGTGGTGCTTGTCGTCGCCTGTCTCTCTCGCACCCCCACGGGACACCCTACGAGTACGAGAGAGACAGAGCGGCAGTCCGGAAGCAGCCCGCCGGTCGCACACTAGTAACTCACCCCCGACACGCGCGCGCGTCAGGTCGCCGCCGTCGGCAGCGGTCCGAAGCGCATCGCTGTCTCCGTCGCGCTCGCGGGGCGTGCCACAGTGGGCCAGAAGACCGGTGGAGGCGGACAAAACTCTAGACGCGTTTTGAGCTCCAGAGTCGCTAAACAGGCCTCGAAACGGACGTGTGACCCCACCAATGGATTCCTCGTCCGGAGAGCAATCCATTGGTGGGGTCACACGTTCGGTTCGAGTCCTGTTTAGCAACTCTGGAGCTCAAAACGCGTCTAGAGTTTTGTCCGCCTCCACCGGTCTTCTGGCCCATGTGCGTGCGGCTTGCCGCGGGGAGCGAGAGAGACAGCGACTCTCTCCGGAAGCAGCCTGCAGCCGCGGCATGCACGTGCGCGCCGCCTTTTACGAGCGGTCAGCGTGCGCGTTGCGTTTTCGTTTTCGCCGGCGCGGTTTGGCCGGCCACACGCCACGCCGGCGATGGCGGCGGTTGGCGGGGAAGGGGGAAAGGAGGAAGGGAGGGGGAGGGGAGGGGGAGGGTGCGAAATAGTATCGCCCGATATCAACGGCATCGCGGAACGGCACGGCGGCGCGGCCCTGATGGCACGCATCCGGTTGAATGACACACGAGGCCTCGCGCGCCTCGCGCCACGCATCGCCAAGGCTCGCTGATAAACACCTAGGTCAGTATCACTGGCCGGACGGGGCGGGGCGGGGCGCACATTGGGTCAGAAGACCGGTGGAGGCGGACAAAACTCTAAACGCGTTTTGAGCTCCAGAGTCGCTAATCAGGCCTCGAACCGAACGTGTGACCCCACCGATGGATTCCTCGTTCAGAGAGCAATCCATTGGTGGGGTCACACGTTCGGTTCGAGTCTCATTTAACGACGCCGGAACTCAAAACGCGTCTTGAGTTTTGTCCGCCTCCACCGGTCTTCTGGCCCACTGTGGGGTGGGGCGGGGCGGGGCCGCGACTGCCGGACGACCCTTTCGGAACCGGAAACCGCGGCTGGCCCGCGCGCTAAGACGCGAAGTCGCGGGGCGTTCGTTGGCCCGGCGCCAGCGAGGCACCGCGTCTCCCTGCTTCGGTAAATGGGGCGCAATGAGGATCGCGGAGCCCCTCGCGAAGTGCCTCACGGTGAAGGGGTCGTGGTGGTGGCGGCCTGTGGCGGCCGGGCGGCGCACTGCGGGCCAGAGTATGGGTGCCGGCAGCCAAAACTCAAGACGCGTTTTGAGCTCCAGAGTCGCTAAATGGGACTCGAACCGAACGTGTGACCCCCACCATTGGAATGCTCGGCGAAGGAGGAATCCATCGGTGGGGTCACACGATCGGTTCGAGTCCTGTTTAGCGACTCTGCAGCTCAAAAACGCGTCTACCGTTTTGGCCGCCTGCCTCGGTCTTCTGGCCCAACTGTGCGGTACTGCTTCGAGTACTGCTTGCGAATTCACTGGTGTGGCGGGCCGGGCGTCGCATTTCCGGGTCACAGACCGCCGGCCACTCCACGCGCCACCCGAAATAACAACAAAAAGAAAACACGAAAAAAGAACAAAAGTGAAAAGTCAGTATTCGAACCGTCGTTCGGCGAAACGGCGATACCGATCGCGCCCCAGCGCGACTGCTGAAAACGCAAACGAGTGCGGCGGTGTAGGGTTCTCCCGGCCCGGCCCGGCAGTTTCCCGTCGCGGACGTGCTGACGCCGACCTGACGGCCTTAGGGCCCTCGCTCCAGGTCGTCGCGGTGACAAAACAGTCGATTCGACGCCGATCTATGTCCTGGTCCTTCCCGAGTCGCGCTGCCATTTCTCGAAGAGTTTCGAGTTTCGAGTTTGGCGCGGACGCACAGTGGGCCAGAAGACCGTTGGAGGTGGACAAAACTCTAGACGCGTTTAGAGCCCCAGAGTCACCGAATGGGACGTGTGACCCCACCAATGGATTGCTCTTCGAACGAGGAATCCATTGGTGGGGTCACACGTTCGATTCGAGTCCTGTTCAGCGACTCTGGAGCTCGAAACGCGTCTAGAGTTTTGGCCGCCTGCACCGGTCTTCTGGTTCACTGCGAGACGGGAGGGAGAGGTGCGTCGAGTGAGTTACTGCAGTGCGCGGTGCGCGGTGCCGTGTTGCGGCGGGGAATCCGAGAGACTGCAGACTGATTCAGAGGGTCGTTTCCGCCGCTCTGTCTCTCTCGCGCCGACAAGCGATGGCCCATGAGTGCGAGAGAGACAGAGCGAGCGACGACGTGGGTCTCGGAACCTGCCTGCTGAATCCTCGATGACAGGAAGGCAGCCCTGGCGAAACCGCCGAGACGGGCCGGGGTGATGCACTGCTTGTTATTCCCGGAGACGGCCCATTGTGGCAGGTCGCCGACAATTTTTCGCGTCTCTCTCTCTCTCTCTCTCTCTCTCTCTCTCTCTCTCTCTCTCTCTCTCTCTCTCTCTCCCTCTCTCTCGTGGGCTGTCCGGCATAGGCGCGAGAGAGACAGACTGCCTGCAACAGGCTGCCGAAGCGAGTTTGAGGGCAGGACCGGACCGGGCCTTCTTGGAACACTCCATGCATCTCTTTCTCCTCCGCTCGGCCGATCCTTTGAGGTGCGAGCGTGTGTAAGTGTGTGTTGGTGTGTGTGTGGCCGAGTGAAGGGGCGAGCGAGTGTTTCCGTTTCCAACGTCCTTTTCGGAGGCGCGGTCTGGTCTGGCCGCCTGGGCGAATTCGCGGTACCATGACGCGACCCGAAAATGAAAATCCCAACACGTGTGGGGGGTACCGTAACATTGCGGTTCGAAATGAGAAAGAAACTGCACTGTTACAACCGCGGCCGATTTACCAGGCTCTAGGGACAATCACACTTGACCGAAGGGGAATGTACTCGCGTAATGGTCGGGTCACAGGGTTCGTAAAATCGAGCGTAATAGTATGCACAAAAGTAGCCTATTAGTCTGAATTCTCAGAATGTTGCCTATTTCTGGGTGGTTTGGGGGCTTTTGTTCTGAATCTCGATAATTTTGAGGTGTAAAAGAACATGTTAGGCGTAATAGTCGGGTCACAGAGTTTGAGAGCGTGCGCAGAAATTTTGAAGGGGGGAGGGGGTAGGCCATGCTTTCTGTCTTCTTACAGGGGAATGTGATGGAATTTTCGTACCTTCAAGGCACGCCACTGATGCACTCTCAAACTCTGTGACCCAACTATTACGCCTAATATGTTTTTTCACACCTCAAAATTATCGAGATTCAGCTGAAAACAAAAGCCCCAAAACCACCCAGAAATAGACAACATTCTGAGAATTTTGAAGGGGGGGCGGCCATGACTAGGTACATCGCATTCCTACCCTGGCCGGTTATAATTTTCAGCTTATGCTGGTTGGGAAGTGATGGTGGTGGTGAAGGGTGGTGGTGGTTGGTGCTGGTGCTGAGTGGTGGTGTTGGTGGTGTGGCGGGTGGGTGGTGGTGTTGGTGGTGGTAGTTGCGTCGGTTGGTGGGACGTACGGTGGCTGGCCGCTGTTCACTTGGAACTACCCGAAGTCCTTCTGGCGCCCGCAGATCTCCTTCCTCCGGCAGTTTGGCTACTTGGAGGGCGCTCGACCGCCCGGCTGGGACGCCGTCGACGTGGGCGACCGGTTCGGCACCACCAACACCACCACCATGGTACACTGTCTTTGCCTTTCCTCTGGTCACGCTCGTTGTGCTTCGTCAGTTGTCATTCATGCGCCGCTTCGGCTACCTGGAGCAGGGCCGGCCCGACTCGGAGACGCTGTACACGGAGGAGGCGGTGGTGACGGCCATCAAGCTGGTGCAGAAGTTCGGCGCCATCCCGCAGACCGGCGTCATCGACGAGGCCACGGACAAGGTGAGTGTAGCGCCGCACAGTGGGCCAGAAGACCGGCGGAGGCGGCCAAAACTCGAGACGCGGTTTGAGCTCCAAAGTCGCTGAGCAGGATTCGAATCGAACGTGTGACCATGGGTTCCTCGTTCGGAAAGCATTCCGTTGGTGGGGTCACACGTTCGGTTCGAGCCCCATTTAGCGACTCTGGAGCTCAAAACGCGTTCGGGATTTTGACCGCCTCCACCGGTCTTCTGGCCCACTGTGCTCCGGCCCTCATCGAGTCCGTTGTTTTCAACTTGCTCGTCCTTGCTGGCGCAGTTGATGAAGGCGAGGCGGTGCGGCTGCCCCGACGTGGTGCGGCACGCTCCGGAGGCGCGCGGCCACACCACGCACAGGCACAAGCGCTTCGTGGTGGCCTCCAAGGGCTGGAAGCGACGCCACCTCAAGTACTAGTAAGTAGTCTTGCGGCGCCTATCGCAGGCCTCGCACCGGCCTCGCGAAGCAGACTCATTCCGAGAGTCGTTTTCGTCGCTCTGTCTCTCTCGCACCTACACTACAAACCTAACTGTCTACTGAGTACACACTTACAAATGCATGCTTGCAAGTACACACTTACAAATGCATGCTTGCAAGTACACACTTATAAACGCATGCTTGGCGCATGGAGTTATACGACGGCGTCAAGCATGCGTTTGTAAGTGTGTACTTGCAAGCATGCATTTATAAGTGTGTACTTGGCCAAGCATGCGTTTGTAAGTGTGTACTCAGTAGACAGTTAGGTTTGTAGCGTATAGCGCGTCCCGTGTAGGTGCGAGACAGAGCGACGAAAACGACTCTCGGAGTCAGTCTAGAGGCCTCGCGCAGGCTTTGCTCGCCCCTGCACCACGCACACTCGTCTTTCCCCTGCGTCTCATCTCTGGTGCAGCATCGCCAACTGGACGCCCAAGATCGGCGAGGACGGCGTCAACGCCTTGATGGTGAGGGCCTTCGACGCGTGGAGCGCGTACGGCAGGCTTCGCTTCACCCGGGCCGCGCAGCCCAGCGAGGCGGACATCACTATCGCCTTCGGCCGGGGCAACCACGGCGACTGGTAATGTGGACTCTGATAAGGCCAGCCGAATTGAAATAGGACCCGTCAAGTGAAATGGGAAGGAGTCGGGCCGAGCGCCTGCAGGCTGCAGGGTAGGCCGTCCCGTCGAACCCGGCTGCCGTGCGGGCCTGCCTACCCTGACTCTCGCAGGCGCTCCCGCTCCGCAATGGGCCAGAAGACCGGCGCCGGCGGCCAAAACTCTAGACGCGTTTTGAGCTCCAGAGTCGCTAAACACAACTCGAACCGAGCATATAACCCCACCAATGGATTCCTCCTCGTTCGCAGAGCAATCCATTGGTGAGGTCACACGTTCGTTTCGAGTCCCATTTAGCGACTCTGGAGATCAAAACGCGTCTGGAGTTTCGACCGCCTCCACCAGTGTTCCGGCCCACTGCGCGCTCCGCCTTGCCTCGCTGTGCTGCGCGTAGGTTCGCTGACTGATTAGTGATTGTGCAGGTTCCCGTTCGACGGCCCGGGCGGCATCCTGGCGCACGCCTTCTACCCCTACGAGATGGCCACCTACGGCGGGGACATCCACTTCGACGACGACGAGCAGTGGGCCGCCGACCCGAACGCCACGGAGCTGTACAACGGTGAGTCGGGCGTCGCTCCGTCTCCCTCGCACTTATGGAGCGTTTCTTACTGGTGCGAGAGAGACAGAGTGACGGAATGAGTCTGCCGAGTCCCCCCGGGACCGCATAGTGGGCCAGAAGACCGGCGGAGGCGGCCAAAACTCTAGACGCGTTTTGAGCTCCAGCGTCGCTAAATGGGACTCGAATCGAATGTGTGACTCCACCAATGGATTGCCCTCCGAACGAGGAATCCATTGGTGGGGTCACACGTTCGGTTCAAGCCCTGTTTAGCGACTTTGCAGCTCAAAACGCGTCTAGAGTTTTGGCCGCCTCCACCGGTCTTCTGGCCCACTGTGGACGGGCCGTCTTTCCGAGTCCTTTCCGTCGGACGGGTCGGTCTGACGTCATGTTTACGTCACGACGCGTTCCCCGTGACACGTTCATTTTTCTCGGGACTCCTGCCGTATCGCCTACACTAGAGTGCACCACGTGCCGGCCGGGCTGGCCCGCCTGCTGCCGGCAGGTTATCGCCGGGAAGAACCCGATGAACCCCGGTTTGTTTTGTTACAAGCGGGTTCTTTTGTCACTGGACACGACTCAACGCGCATCGTTGACGGGCCACAGTGGGCCAGAAGACCGGTGGAGGCGGACAAAACTCAAGACGCACTTCGAGCTCCACGGTCGCTAAATGGGACTCGAACCGAACGTGTGACCACACCAATGGATTGCTTTCCGAACGAGGAATCCATTGGTGGGGTCACACGTTCGGGTCGAGTCCTGTTTAGCGACCCTAGAGTTTAAAACGCGTCTAGAGTTTTGTCCGCCCCCACCGGTCTTCTGGCCCACTGTGCGGGCTCTCCAAATGACTCCCACTGTGGTCTGCAGGCGCGGTGGACTTGTTCCTGGTGGCGGTGCACGAGATGGGCCACAGCCTCGGCCTGGGCCACTCCCCGGACCCCGAGTCCATCATGTTCCCCTACTACCAGTCCAAGAGCGAGTCCTTCAAGCTGGGCCAGGACGACATCCTGGGCATGTACGAGCTGTACAGTGAGTACGACAGTCGGCTCCTCTGGGCCAGTACTGGATTCGCACAGTGGGCCAGAAGACGGGTGAAGGTGGCCAAAACTCTTGACGCGTTTTGAGCTCCAGAGTCACTAATGGGACTCAAACCGAACGTGTGACCGCGTCACTAGGTTTCTCTCGGAACGAGGAATCCATTGGCGGGATCACATGCACGGTTCGAGTCCCATTCAGCTTTGACCGCCTTCACCGGTCTTCTGGACCACTGTGCCACGGTGCGCTGACTCCTTGCGTCATGGGTCAGTCTTTCGAGGGCGGGGGCGTGGAGCGGGCCCGGGGCAGTATAAAACAGGGCAGTTTTCGTGTTTGCAGTTAAGCGGCAGCTGGAGGAGGACAACGAGACTCCCACCTACGAGGAGAACCACAGGCCGCCACCGCCGCCGAACACCACGCCGCGCCCGCCGAGGACGACCACGACGAGGACGACCACGACAAGGAGGCCCCGGCCACCGCCCCGGTAAGCCCGGTGGCAGCGGTCGCCTAGTACCCAAGGGCGGACCCAGAGACGGGTTCAGGGGGGTCGATGTTGCGAAAGTTGCCTTCCTACAGGGGCTAAGTGCGACTAGTTGCCTACCTTTCAGGCGACTTCGCCGCCTTCGGGGACCCGGGGGGGGGGGGGATCCCCCCTGGACCCGTGCCTGCTAGTAGTACCTTGGCTCTCTGTTACACGAACTGGGTCCTCACGATGTGCTGCAGGCCCAGACCCACGACGACGACCACCACCACACCAAGGCCTCGACGGCCACCTTCGCCGCCACCGTCGCGCCCGCCGCCGCACAGGCCGCCGCCTCCGACCAGCGCGCCGACGTACCACGGCGACGACGAGACAGTGGAGGAGCACAAGAAGCACGACCACAAGCACGGCATCCCGCCCGGGCCGGCAGGACCGGTCGGGCCTTCGGACGCGGGGCCCGGGGGCGGCGGCGGCCACGGCGGCCACGGTGGAGGACACAGCCATGGCCATGGTAGCGGTCATGGTAGCAGCCACGGTAGCGGCCATGGTGGTAGCCACGGCGGCCACGCCGGTGGCGGTAGCGGCCACGGCGGCAGTGGTCACGCTGGGAGCCACGGCGCCAGTGGCAACGGGGACAGCGAGGAGAACAACGTGATCCCGGACCTCTGCGAGGGGCACTACGACGCCGTAGCCCAGCTCCGAGGAGAGCTGTTCGCCTTCAAAGGCCAGGTCAGCACTCTATTCTTCCCGTGGTCGTTTGTTTGACCGAGTACACGCCACGCCTGAAGACCGACGCAGGCGGCTAGTAATCAAAACGCGTTTTGAGCCACGGAGTCGCTACACAGGACTCGAACCGTCCGAGTGACCCACACCAAAGGATACCTTTGCCCGGAGAGCAAATTATTGATGGGGTGTCACACCATCGGTTCGAGTGCCACTTAGCGACACTGGAGCTCAAAACGCGTCTGGAGTTTTGGCCGCCTCTCGCCGGTCTTCTGGCCCACTGTGCGCCACCCAAACTGATCTCGAACTGCTTCGTGGTCCGCTTGTGCTTGGCGGGGCGCAGTACTTGTGGCGCTTCCGCCAGCGCGGCGAGGTGATGCAGGGCTACCCAGTGCCGCTGCGACGCATGTTCCGCGACCTGCCCGAGCAAGTCACCAAGTTGGATGCCGTCTACCAGCGCGACGACGGCAACATCGTGCTTTTCTCAGGTACAATACAGCCGGCTCCTCAAAATTTTATTGATTACCCCTTCTCAAAGAATATGCAATCCAATTTTACTAAATTTTATGAATGTGAGTTAAAACGGGTTTGGTATTTTTTCAGGGCCTAGATACTGGGTGTATAACGGTGTGAATTTTGTAGAAAATAGCCCACAATCTATAACTCGGTTGGGACTCCCTAGTTCTATTGACCGCATTGATGCAGTAATGATATGGGCTAAAAACAAAGCGACTTATTTCTTCAGGTAGTTATTTTTAATGCTACTGACTTTCGTATTTACTTTACCTTATTTACAACATCTATTGGATGTAAATGCAGGGGTTCTGAGTTTTGGCGTTACAACACAACCACATCCCGAATGGACCCTGGATATCCCAAGCGCATTTCCAATAGTTGGAAAAGAGCACCAAATGAGATTGATGATGCTATGACCTGGACAGATGGTATGTGTGTTCAAGGTTCCCGTTTCTGAATGCGTGATTCCATGGTTGACAGACCAATGCACAGTACTAATCACAAAATATGCACATTACAGGAGTGTCTCACTTTTTCAAGGGAGATCTTGCTTATCAGATAGACAACGCGCATGTCACGGTAGCAAGAATAGACCGTACAGCACAAATTTGGTTTGGATGTCGTTAAGTGAGACCCAACAGAGTCACAGAATGGTCTGTGCATGACTTCAGTATTCTCATCTCTGAATTTTTCAGTACTGTTTGGAGAGACAAGACTTGAGAGATGGTTTTTCATCTCTAGCATGAAATTTTGCAATAAATTTTTCAAGTACAGTTAAAACATGAATGAGGAGAGCTCCAGACAGACACCGTTCACATTTTACTTCTAACAGAAGAAAATTCACGGCCTGAAAAGGAATACAAACAAATAAACACAAATGCAGATTTAAAATAAGAACTTTTAATTCCTAATAAAAGCAATTCATGAAGTTTAAATAATGAAACAAGTACAAAAATACTTTAAGTTACTGGGGAAAAAAAAGGGGGCAATACTGAATGCACTAAAAAAAAAATCAATCCAAAGATGACAATGTAAGTGACATCCACAACAGTATACAAAAAAAAAGTGTTCATTTCACTAACATTCTAAAACAACCTCACATCCAAAACACTTAAGATTTTAGCACATCAGTTGATACCAGCAACTTTTTAAATACATTAAAAAATAACATTAAGTCATAAGAACCAGAACAATGCCTTTTAACTTCCCTGCAGTACGTATCACACTATCACAAAAATATTATAATCACTTGTTCATATGCTTGCTTAAAAAACAATGTGACACCTAGATATTGTCCTACACAGAACTTCACAAATAAAAAAAAAGACAACCCATACACAAAATGGATCTTAATGGACATTTTGTGCTTTAGCACCTAACAAGCTTTAATATGATTAGAAGTTAGACTGGAAAAGAATTAGTGAAATGACAAATATTTTAAATAATTTAGAGAGAAAGAAGCAAATAATTAGGTGTTCCTCGACACAAATTGATGTATTTTGCAACAACTAATAAGATAGGTGCTAAAATTAAACCATTTCCACAACTGAAGTGCACACAGTGTTTTAACATTTACACTAAGTGATTGCTTCTCCAAAAATAAATGTAAACAATGAAAGGAACAAGATGGATCTTTGAGACAAATAATACCAACTGAGGTTCTCAGATCACAACAAACTGAAAACTTCAATGATGTCACAATAGAGAATTGATGAGTGAGAATTATTTAGCTGCAGCAGCTCTGAGGGGTCGGGTCAATACCAGAGCGCTTGGTGATCCAGAGACGGGTGAATTCTTCTGAGACAGTGGGGTGAATTCCAACAGTGTCCATGAGAACTTCCATGGTCAATCCCATCCTAAAAAATAATAAAAAAATTAGTGACTTAAAATTAGAAACAAAACCCAACCATGAAGAAACCATTAAATTTAAATACTCACTTAATGGCAGCAGCATAACCCTGCATGACTTCTCCTCCTTGAGGTCCCATGTAGTGCATACCAAGAACTTTCTGTGGAGAATTCCGCAAGCAAACAACCTTAATGTAGCAACGAGCTGGGCTACGCTGAGGTACGAAGAATTCTGTTGGCTTGTAGAATGCATGGTAAACCTAAGAAAAGTAAAAAGAATTATTAGCATAGGTGTATATATTTAAAAAAATAATTAGCATAGGTGTATACATTTAAAAACTAATTAGTATAGGTGTATATATTTAAAATATATAACCACTTATTAAGAGACAACTTACCTCAATTTTGTCTTCCCCATATCTCTCAATGGCTGTCTCCTCACTCAATCCACAGCAACCATATTCTAGAGGAGTGAAAACTGTTGTTGCCACATTATCATAGTCCATTTCAGTTTTACCATTATTGTACAAACGCTGAGCCAAGAGCTTGCCAGCCTGGATAGCAACAGGAGTAAGCTCAGGCTTTCCCTGTAAAAGGAGTAAAATTTTAGATTCAGAGAAAATTGGTTGGGGTTGGCATACAACATGCACTGTGCCCAAATTAGAATATGAACTTACCTGAAGAATGTCTCCAACAGCAAAAATGCTGGGAACATTCGTCAGCTCTCTATCACTGACAACCTTATGTGATTGAGGGTCTAATTTGACTCCAACTTGATCAGCCCTGACCTCCAGGGTCAAGGGTCTACGACCAGTTGCCATGAGGATGGTGTCAAACACATCTGATGACACGGAATTGTCCTGCAAATGACACAGATTAGAGCTCTGGTTCAGAAGTATCAAACTAGAAATTGGAACCAGTCAGAGCTTGCCACTTACCGCCAGGGACTTCCAGGTAACTTTCACCTTGCCATCGGCTTGCTTCTCCATACTAACAGGTACACTTTTGTGAAGGAACTTGACTCCCCTGGAGGTCATTTCTTCAGTGATAAGGTTAGCCATCTGCTGGTCAAAGCCTCTCAGGACAACAGAACGCACCATCACAGTAGCATCCATTCCAAACTCGTTGAGGAAACCAGCACACTCCAGACCGATGTATCCAGCACCAATGACTAGAGTCTTGCCAGGAGCCTCAGGCAAACTGAAGATGTCATCACTGGAGATGCAGTTTTCAAGAGCACCAGGAACATCTGGGTAGATGGGACGGCCTCCCATGGCCAACAAAATGTGGTTCGCCTTCAGTTCCTTTTCAGTTCCATTCTTCAGCTTGGCGTGAACAGTGTGGGCATCAATGAGAGTACCCTTGGCATTGATGTATTCCACTTTCCTGATAACAAAAACGCAGTAATAAAAACCAACATCTAAAGTAAAAGAAAAGAAAAACAATGATCCTGTGTGAACTCACTTGTCACGCAATTCAACCCTGAGGACCCAGTTCACTGATTTAATGTGATTCTGAACAGACTCCCTCAGCTTGGGCCAGTCGAGCGTAATTGATTTCCTTTCTGGGATATTCCAGCCAAAGCAACCAGCATCCTGAACAGCAAAAAAATGGTTTGTGAGAAGAAAATAAGAGAAGCCATAAATTAAAACAACGAAACAATAATGCAACTTACATGGAGGCTTTCGCCGAGGAGGGCGGCCTGGTGGAACAGCTTCTTCGGAATGCAACCGACATTGACGCAAGTGCCACCCAGACCCCATGTGGTACCACGAGGGGAGGGTTCCACAAAGTCAAGAACAGCTACCTTCTTCCCCAGGAGCACAGCCTCCTTGGCAGCTGCCAAGCCACCGGAACCTCCACCAATGACCACCAGGTCATAATCGTAGCCGTGAGCGCCTGTCAACAGACAACAAACACCATGTAACAAGAGCGTAAACAGAAACAAACAACAGCTGTCACCTGTCATCGAGCCCTTCAGGACAAGTCCCTTCTCCAGAGAAAGTCGGGGCACTCTAACCTCAAAACATGCACACGGAGGCCATGACACTGCAGACCGCTCAAGGACACGAAGCCACACTGGGCACCAGTGACGAAATGTCACCATACGCTTTCCAGAACAATCCGGGCGATGACGTCACAGGGCAATTATCTCGGAAACTTTCCAAGGTTAGGTAAGGCAGAGAGAGGGGAAGGCAGCAGAAACTGCGGCTTACTTCTGGCGCTAGTTGAAGCGAACCGGAACCGGGTCGCGTTGGAGTGGGCGAGAGACCGCTGTCGAATTAAAACGAACTCCACCTCCCCGGGCCCATTGAAAGTGAGCAGTCGCGAGGCGAGCCTGCTGGCGAGCCGCGACGCAAGCAGCGCCATGCTTGCTCTATCAATGCCAAAACAAAGTTGCCCTATCTGCCAACTTCCACGGTCCGAAATTCCCCACAGCGACGCAGCGGTGGCGGCGGCGGCTGCGGCGGCAGTAGCGCGGCAGTAGCAGGAGCCGCTCTGCTTGGCGACGACGGCGACACGTAGAGGTTATCTGCCCCACTGCACCGAGTCGTCACTGTCCGAGTCCGAGCCCCTGGCCGGCGCGCGAGCGAGTGAGACAGAGTTCCGACAAGCACGTCGCCGTCGACAACATGAAGTCCGTCCTCATCACCGGCTGCAATCGCGGGCTAGGCCTGGGTCTGGTGCAACAACTAGTGCAGCGGCCGACTCCGCCGAAACACCTCATCGCCACATGCAGGAACCCGCAGCAGGCAGAGGTGAGCGCGGCGCCCGCGCCCGACAAGACCCCCAGGGCCGCGGACACTCCCCCCGGGGCTGTCCGTCGTCGGCGACGTGCCCCTTGGCCGCGCAGGCTTGGTTACGTCAGAGGTACTCACTTCCCACAGGTGCCATGGTGCAGTCCGTTCTCGGCGAGGGCGTCCGCGCGAGTCCGACGCTGGGCGTCGAGCAGAGTTTAATATAGGTTTACGTAACCCGGCGACGCGGCGGAGACGGCCGCGACGTGAGAATGACGAACGAACGAGCGAGAAGATGAGCGGGCAGCTGCAGCTGCGGACGGGCGAGCCGGAGGTTCTTTGAACGGCCACTGCCTTCTTGTTCTTGCCGCGGCGAACGGCGGAGCTGCGAGCGGAAGCAGAAGGCGCGGCGGGACGGGACGGCGACGGCAGCGCGCGGCGCGGTGCCAACGTTTGAACGCGAGCGTCGAGTCTCCCGGTCTGGGCACTCCGGGGAGCAGGCAGCAGGTCGTCCTGGCTGTCCTGGCGGCGAATGGCGGCGCGGCGCGGCGACGTCGCTTTGACTATCTGCCCTGCCTCTGGCTCGGCTGCCTCTGGCGGTGCGCGGTTATGACTAATAGACGGCGGCGAGCCACGCCGCGGGCACGCATGCATCGCGGCGGCAGGATGGTTCCGAGGAGGCGCTTCGTCGCTCTGTCCTTATCGCGCTCGTGGACCGGTCCGTGGCGGTGCGAGAGAGGCGGGGCGATGAAACGACCGTTCGGGACCTCCACCGTGACTCGGCGCGTTTCTGCGGTCGATGACGGGAACCTTCTACCGCCGCCCCGAGCACGCCGTCGTCGCACAGTAGACCGGTGGAGGCGGCCAAAACCCTAGACGCGTTTTGAGCTCCAGAGTCGCTAAACAGGATTCGAACCGAACGTGTGACCCCACCGATGGATTCCTCGTTCGGAGAGCAATCCATTGGTGGGGTCACACGTTCGATTGGAGTCCCATTTAGCGACTCAAGAGCTCAAAACGCGTCTAGAGTTTTGTCCGCCTCCACCAGTCTTCTGGCCCAATGTGCGTCGAGCACCCCGTCGTGGTCGATGGCGGCCCGCGCGCCACCGAGAGGGCCCGGCGGACGATAACGTATTTTGTCGTCACTACTCTGCAAACTGAAATGTGTGCATAGCACACTCTATTTGGAGCATGCCAAGAAGCACGCTTTAAATTGGAGCGTGCTTGGCAGGCACGCTTTAAATTAGAGTGTGCTTACCAGGCACGCTAAATTAAAGCGTGCCTGCCAGGCACACTCTATTTTAAAGCGAGCTTAGCAAGCTCACTCTAAACTACAGCATGGACGGGACTAATGCAAAGTTTCCATTTTATACTTTAGGGAAGCAACATTTTAAGTCTTGTTAGTGCTGAGATGTGTTTTACGTCAACAAAGCTTCTCCGCTGTTTTCACAACTATTGATGTATAAAATGAAAACTTAAAATGTTGCTTCCCTAAAGTATAAAATGGAAACCTTGCATTAGTACATATGTATTAAATAATTAAAAAATAAAAGCCATTACGAGCATTCAGGAGTGTGGTTGCCGTCCCGTCCATGCTGTAGTTTAGAGTGAGCTTGCTAAGCACGCTTTAAAATAGAGTGTGCCTGGCAGGCACGCTTTAATTTGGAGCGTGCCTGGTAAGCACACTCTTATTTAAAGCGTGCCTGCCAAGCACGCTCCAATTTAAAGCGTGCTTCTTGGCATGCTCCAAATAGAGTGTGCCATGCACACATTTCAGTTTGCAGAGTATTCCTGTCGGTGCCTACACTGGTGCACCCCAAATTGGCGCTCGGTGTACAGATGCGTCCGAACCGTCCCATAACTCCGAACCGGATCTTTGGCCGGTCGGTTGCCCCAAGATTGCGTCACGCGACGCGACGGCGGTCTTTTTCAAATGGAACTAAAGTGATGACGGCACCTCGAAGAAACAGCGGGTTTGTTGGGCAGTTTCGCTTCTGGAACGCGAGCAACCGAAGCAGTGAGAGGGTGGATGGGCCGGGGACGGGAGGTGTCGTCGGCAGAGGGAAAGCCACTCGCGGTGCCCGTCCCCCTCCTGGCCCCGCCCCTACAGTGAGTGCTTCCTGCGAGTCGCACAGTGGGTCGGAAGACCGGTGGAAGCGGCCGAAATTCTAGACGCGTTTTGAGCTCCAGGGTCGCTAAACAGGACTCGAATCGAACGTGTGACCCCACCAATGGATTCCTCGTTCGGAGAGCAATCCATTGGTGGGGTCACACGTTCGGTTCGAGTCCCATTTAGCGACTCTGGAGCTCAAAACGCGTCCGGGATTTTGACCGCCTCCACCGGTCTTCTGGCGTGAGTCGGCCTGCTTTTGGCAGCGAGTTTCGGAGGAGGGCGGGTCGACTCAGACCAACAGGAGCCCAGCGCCCAGCCTAGAAAGCCGCCACCCAGAGGGAAAGCAGCACAGCACGCACCGCTAGAGTCTCCCCCGACTAGACCCACGCGTGAAGAGGGCCGAAGAACGACCTTGACAACGACGCCTTTCGCACTAGTCATTATATCAGCACGTTTCGAGTGGCGTCCCGTCGATTAGATTCGATACATTCGAATCAATTATTAATTTTTCAGACGAAATCGGCGCGCTTTCTGAACAAGTTGGTGACGCGACGTTTTTCGGTGGACCCGCAGCGCGAGCATTGAGAAATCATTACCCGCCGCGACAAAATTGAAATAAAAACTAGCCTGCCAAACCAGTGCTTGCTTCATTTAAAATGACCCGAGGCCGTGACGGTTACGCAGTCCTCTTTGCTGCTACGCAGCGAGCACTGCAGTGTACATGTCGTCAAACCAGCACGACCGTGTTCAGAGCACGATGCATTGTACCGTACGGCTGAGGGGAATCAGGAGACAGAGAGAGAGAGAGAGAGAGAGAGAGAGAGAGAGAGGAGAGGCCCCCTCCTTTTTTTGGGCACTACACAGCCGCCTGGAAGGTAGGCAAATTGTGAGGCATCCAGTCTGTAAGGAGGCAAAAAGCATGGCTATGCGCACACACTGTACAATTTTGTGCTTGGTGTTGCATGCAATTCTCGGCGAAATCCCTACTTTTGAAGAATCCTGTGCACGAAAAACAAATCAAGTGCTTGCCCCCTCGCTGACACCTGTCTTGTATTGTTCTATAGGTATGTTTTGAAGTATTAAAGGTGTCATCTGCTAAAAATACTGCATAAACCTGTAGCGTGCGCAGGAGAGGGGGAGGGGGGCTATGGAGCACCGGCGGAACACTCAGGTAAATCGTGTACGATTACTCGGACTCCCGACTTACAGAATCTCGTTAAAATACCGACTTTAACGGAACTGCCGTATTTTTTTACGGAGAACTCCGTAATTTTGTGGCATTATGGATTTTTACCGTAAAAACTGCATAATTTGATATAATCGATGAGCCTTTTTCAAAGAGAACGCTAATTCACTTCTGGATCGTGAGCAACTCGTTGTGAAAGAGTGACAGACCTATTCAAAGGTGCTTTTTTCCGTCCCTTTCTCTTCAAATGCATGTGGACACTTCTTAACGTTTTGGGAATATCTGTCTCTAAAGGCATGGATCTGTAGTGAAGAAGGTAACCTTAAAATCGGTTCTTCTGCAAAAATACGGTAAATCTGTAAGACGAATACGGAGAATCGTAAAGTTGGAAAATTTCGGAGCCGTCATTCCATAGAGTAGGCGCCGGCGGACACACTGCAGTGTAGTGTGTTCCGCGGATGGGACTACGGGGAAGCTCCCGGGGGAGGTGCGGCCGCCATGCTGCCGCCATGCTGCCGCTCGTCCGCCCCACGCGGCGTGGCGGCGCACGCGGGGCGCTTCGCGTGCTTCACACGCCATGCGCCTCTCCTTCCTGCCAGTGTGCCGAGGGGGTGAACACTCCCGTAATACCGTGCACACGAAAACCGTGTAATACACGACGTAACTGCAACAACATTTAAGGGCCAAATGTACCAAATTTTTGCATTTTTATGCCGTCATACACGTGTAATATCCCCCCTAATACAGCGTGATACCTAGTACTCTGTACACGATTTCTTGAAGTATTTACCCTCTCGCAGTGCACACAGTTCAGAAAACTGTGGCCGGGGGTTAGGGATGTGCGAATAGTTCGGTACCGAATCGAATCAGGCAAGATTAGATTCGATTCGGAATCGATCTGCACAATTTGATCTCAAATATTCGAAGATGGTTTGTCTTCGAATGGTAACTTTTTCCTGATTCCATTCGAACTCGATTCAAAACTTTATTAAAGATTCGATTCGAGTTCGATTTGAAACGAAAACCCTTGGTTCGCACCTCTATTATTGTGTTTGCGTGAAAGCCCATTTTGCATACCCCCTTCCCCTTCTTGTATCTGCTTCTGGGGGAGGGGGCTATGAGGGCATAGGTTGGCGAGAAAGGCGAATAAAGTGACACTGTGCCCCAAGCAACTACTGCGAGGGCCCCCCCCCCCCAACCCGTCTCCTGACCCGCTCTTTGGGCTCATCACTGAAAAACCATACGTGGTCTAGACCACACCAATGATGCGGTCTAGACCACGTTTGGTTTTTCAGTGATCGGCCCGCGTGATACCGCGTTGCGTCCTGCCCATGTGAAGTGAAAAATCAGCGGAATCCGGACAGTCAAGTGTTTGCGACTCTCATTATCTGCAAGTCACTCGGACTTCCCTGCCAGGGATTTCAGCCGAAATCAGCTCGGTATCGATATCCCACTAAAGAACAGGAGAACTACCACTGCCTCTCTCTCCCTCTCTCTCTCCCTCTCTCTCTCTCTCTCTCTCTTTCTTTCTCTCTCTCTCTTTCTCTCTCTCTCTCTCTCTCTCTCTCTCTCTCTCTCTCTCTCTCTCTCTCTTTTTGTCGCGGAGGGCTGCCTGCGAGGGGCGACCCATTCTAAAAATTTGTGTACAATGATTGTGTGAATGTGCCAGAATGTGCGAGATTTCTGGCGTTTTTGCCACACATTTTGCCTACTTACAGGCGGTTTTGCCACCTGAATGTGGAATGTGGTCAGATTTTGTACAATGAATGTGGGAAGCTGTTCCCCTCTCGGCCCCTCGGCTGCCTGGTATTCGAACCCACGCCGCTGGCTCGTGCCAGACGATGATCCCGCCACTTTTCCGTTGAAGTTGCCGATCAAGTGGGCGCAGTAGTATCGCATGACGACACCGACGCTAAACTCGGGAAAGCCATTAGGATGACTCGATCGAACGGCGGCTCGAGATTAGTAAATAGAAAGACTGCTTCTATCGGGCGGGCTCGTGACTTGCGGGCCGTCGCGCGGTGCGACTAGCCATGGCTAGCAAGCCGCCGCCGTTGCTCTACCTATGGGCCAGTGCAGCCGCGGCTTTCGGTCCCAAGTTCACAAGGGCATGTACGTTATTGTAATCTAATTGTAATCCGTAGAAATACATTGCCCCCGCCCCCAAAAAGTAACCCCCCCCCAAAAAAAAAAAAATAATAACCCGCCCCCACCTCCAAAGAAGGCTCCCCCCCCCCACTGTAAATGTCTTCCGTGAAAGGCTCCACCAACAAATTAAGGTGGAGATTTTCTCCATAATACCAACGAAATTTGTCAAAATATCTATAAGGTACAGTGAATTATCAATGGTATGTTATGAAGTCAGCTGCACCACCATAATAAGGAACATTTTCACCATAATATGGAGAATCTTCACTGTGCAACAAGTGCAAAAAAATTGAAAGTCCCCCTCCGCAGAAAAGAAAAGGTTACACGGTTGCCATTTTGTAGGTTGCCCACCTTTGGTACCCAGCTGTGAAAACGGACGACCCACCCCCAGTGGCGTGGGCAGGGGAGGAGGGGTTAGAATACCCCCTCCATTCGGGCACTAGATCGCCCTGGCAGGTCGTCAAATCACGGCTTATTCCCCCTGTAAAAGTTGGCAGAGGGCATGGCATGACCTCATCTTCTTTTTCAAAATTTCTGTGCACGCCACTGCCCGCCCCTCTCCTCCCCCCTGCCTCCCACGCACACTCTAAATGTTGTACAGTGAAGATTCTCCATATTATGGTGAAAATGTTCCATATTATGGTGGTGCAGCGACCTCGTAACATACCATTGAGAATTCATCGTACCTTGTAGATATTTTGACGACTTTTGTTGGTATTATGGAGAAAATCCCCACCATAATATGTTGGTGCAGCCTTTCACCGTAAGACATTTACAGTGCATGGGAGAGCCTCCCGTTTCGAAGCGGCTTCTTTCGGAATAGAACGAGCGAACTGGGCTCTGCTTATCGGGCGCGAAAGCCAGCGCCAGATAGCGAGTGCCTTTATTGTGCCTGCTACGCCTAAGCGTAGCCTGGCGTAGCCTGCTACGTCGGACAGGACATGTGGGCGTGCTCACAGCGCTGTAAGCTCTCGACGGTCGCGACACCGTCGCAGCATGTCATCGGAATAATTGTTTTTATCTGGGAAGCGGCTTAGATCGACTGGTTATCTGCCGAGTCAGCGGAGTCTCGTGCTCGCTGTTAACCTAACGGAGCCTAACCGGTGCCGCCTAGCGTAGCTTGCTGCACGGCTCGTAGGGTTGCCTATCGTCACGTTGGCGGGCGCTCGCCGTGCCGCGTGCCGCACAGTGGGCCAGAAGACCGGTGGAGGCGGCCAAAATTCTAGACGCTTTTTGAGCTCCAAGGTCGCTAAATGGGACTCGAACCGAACGTGTGACCCCACCAATGGATTGCTCTCCTAACGAGGAATCCATTGGTGGGGTCCTACACTCGGTTCAATTCATGTTTAGCAACCCTGGAGCTCAAAACGAGTCTAGAGTTTTGGCCGCCGGCGCCGGTCTTCTGGCCCACTGCGGAGCGGGAGCGCCTGCGAGAGTCAGGGTAGGCAGGCCCGCACGGCAGCCGGGTTCGACGGGACAGTCTACCCTGCAGTCTGCAGGCGCTCGGCCCGGTCGCTTCTTCAATTTCAATTCGGCCTTATCCCTCCCTTAGAGCTCGAACCGACCGCGTGACCCCACCAATGGATTCCTCGTTCGGAGAGCAATCCTTTGGTGGGGTCGCACGTTCGGTTCGAGTCCTGTTTAGCGACTCTGGAGCTCAAAACGCGTCTAGACTTTTAGCCGCCTCCATCGGTCTTCTGGCCCACTGTGTGCCATGCTGTGCCGCGAAACGGTCTACGGTGCTGTCGTTGTCTTTCTCGGGAATAAAAGCGAATGAAACCACTCTCTTGCTGTTGCAGGCTCTTACGTCGATTGCTGCCCAGCACAGGAACCTACACGTGCTGCAAATAGGTGAGTTGCGAGAACGGGAAGCGGGAATAGGGGTGGGGCTGGAGAGAGAGAGAGAGAGAGAGAGAGAGAGAGAGAGAGAGAGAGAGAGAGAGAGAGAGAGAAATAAGAAGGGTTGGGTCACGCGGGGGGAATGGCGCGTAGCAGCTGCATCAGCATAGCATATCCAGAGTGGAAGTTTGTGGGATTTGACTTTGTAATGCCCATTGGCCCACCTTGGATGCTGCGGCCGGCCGGCCGGGCTGCACGGCCCCATCCTGGAGGCCTTCATCGCCATGAGTGCTGTCTGCCCTGCAGACTGATTCCGAGAGCCGTTTTCGTCGCTCTGTCTCTCTCGCACTCGCGTGGCGTCCCGCATAGGTGCGAGAGAGACAGAGCGACGCATTCCCGGAATCGGTCCACTGTTTGCCGAGGGGTGGAGGGGAGTGGCGGTAAACTTGCGGCAGCGAAGCACCTTTCCCGCCAACCAGAAACCGTAACAGGAAAGAGTTTCGAGCGCGGGGTGGCCCACTGTACATTTTTGCGTGTACAGTGAATGTGAGAGTGTGCTGGATGGATTTTTGCTGCATTTGCCGCACATGTTGCACTGAGAAAACCTTACAAACTATTTTGGGCTTTACAAAGAAAAGTAGTTTGTATAACAAAGTATTTTGAGCATAAAGCTTACAAAGAGAATACTTCGTAATTTACGAACTATTTCTTCGTATAACAAAGTATTTTAGTTTGTTATACGTATGCTCAAAATACTTCGTAAGGTTTTAAGAGTGTGCCTACTTACAGCCGTTTTTACCACCCGAAAGTGGAATGTGTCTGTTTTTAGTACAATGAATGTACTGGGTTGTTCTCTCCTCGGTTCCGAGTCTAGTCCGTTTTCGTTCTTGTTGCAGACGTAAAAGATTTTGACAGTTACGACAATTTCGCCAAGCAGGTGCAGTCGATCGTAAAGGATGACGGCATCAACGTCCTGTTCAACAGCGCCGGGATCTCGACCAAGTTCACCAGGGTGAACCTGGTGAAGGTGGACCAGATGACCGACAACTTCCTCACCAATACTGTGGCCCCGTTGATGCTCACCAAGGTACCGTAGAAGACCGGCGGAGGCGGCCAAAATTCTAGGCGCGTTTTGAACTCTGGAGCTCCTTTACAGGACTGGAACCGAACGTGTGACCCCACCAATGGATTTCTCTGCGAACAAGGAATCTATTGGTGGGGTCACACGCTCGGTTCCAGTCTTGTTTAGCGACTCTGGAGCTCTAAACGCGTCTAGAATTTTGGCCGCCTCCACTCTCCACCGGCCGTCTGGCCTACTGTGTACTGCTTCAGTGCCAAAAACAAAAACAGTGACCGATAACTGAACCCGGAACTTTGGCTGCCGTTGCAGGCGCTGCTCCCCTCGCTCAAGAAGGCATCGCAGCAGAACGCGGCCGCGCCGACGGGGGCGCAGAGGGCCGTCGTCGTCAACATGAGTTCCGTGCTGGGCTCCATCGCCCAGAACAACCAGGGCGGCTTCTACCCCTACCGCGCCAGCAAGGTGAGCCCCTCGAATTAGGCGGCCTATTTCCCTCGCGACTGACGACGGAACAACAGCAGACTGATTCCGAGGCACAGTGGGGCAGAAGACCGGTGGAGGCAGCAAAAACTCTAGACGCGTTTTGAGCTCCAGAGTCGCTAAACAGGACTCGAACCAAACGCGTGACCCCACCAATGGATTCCTCGTTCGAAGAGCAATCCATTGGTGGGGTCACACGTCCGATTGGAGTCCCATTTAGCGACTCTGGAGCTCAAAACGCGTCTCGAATTGGCCGCTCCACCGGTCTTCTGGCCCGCTGTGCGCTGGGGGTCCTCGAACCAGGCCCCGTGGGTCTAGTTCTAGGGCCTCAGGTGAACCCACCCCATTTCTGTCGGCAGTCGGGCCTGAACGCCGTGACCCGGTCGCTGAGCGTGGACCTCAAGGACGACGGCATCCTGGTGGTGAGCCTGCACCCCGGCTGGGTGCAGACGGACATGGGCGGCAAGGGCGCGCCGCTCACGGTGGAGCAGAGCACGCAGGGCATGCTCAAGTTCGTGGAAGGCCTCGGCGCCAAGCAGAACGGTGGCTTCTACCAGTACGACGGCAAGGAGCTGCCCTGGTGATGCGCCGTCCCATCCGCCACGCCGCCCACAGTGGGCCAGAAGACCGGAGGAGGCGGCCAAAACTCTAGACGCGTTTTGAGCTCCAGAGTCGCCAAATGAAACTCGAACCGAACGTGTGACCCCTCCAATGGATTGCTCTCCGAACGAGGGTCACACGTTCAGTTCGAGGCCTGTTTAGCGACCCTGGAGCTCAAAACGCGTCTAGAGTTTTGGCCGCCTCCACCGGTCTTCTGGCCCACTGTGCCACGCCACGCGCCGAGGGCGCCAAGGAAGGGCCTTCGCCGCGTCACGGTGACGGATGAAGACGGAGGGCTGAAGGGTCCTTCCACGCCGCGGCCACGCGTCGAGCTTGTCTGCCAAGCGACTCAGAAGAGCGGCTTGTCGCTCTGTCTCCCTCGCTCTCACATGGAGAGCCTCACGAGTGCGACAGAGACAGAGCGACGACTCTTCTGAATCGCTCGGCACGGCAGGCCTAGAGTCCTCTACTCCGGCCGCCACCGTCACCGTAATGCCGATTGGCTGGCCTGCTCTTATCTCTGCCGTGACGCGCTGCAAGGCGGCCCTCGGCAGGCTGTCTAGAGTCCTACACTGTGGCTCTAGCTCTGTCGGGACTCTGCAGTCTGCACACGGAGGTCTGCAGGCCCTGCAGGCACTCGCCGGCAATTGTACAAAGATAGACAGTTTTGTGGACTGTTGGTAGAAGTGCACAGTGTATGTACATAGATCAATAAAAGGGAAAAATTTGGTGAACTGGTTTGTTTTTTTCAATAATTTATTCTTTCAAGCTACACGCATGCACGGTATTGATTAAAAATAAACATTGCTTTTGCATGCAACGCACCAAGCCAGCAGGGAGATTCTCAGATAAAACTCCCTAAAGGTATGAGTTTATACCTTCCGTTTCGAATGACTGCTTTTGACAGACTCCTTACTAATTCAAAACTACACTCCGAGTATTCTTGAAGGAAATAAAATACTGGTTATTAATACACTGATATCACTTGTTATACCACAGTATCACAATGCAGCAGCAAACACTGTTTACAACTCAAGCTAACCTATTATTATGAAAAAATAAATACACAATAGGAACAGGGTTGCTTTGGTCTAAAAATCGAATGGAAGCAAAAACAAAGCGTGTGATGTCAGCATCAGACAGATTAACGCGAGGGAAGCAATAAAAGTGGGTTGTTTCCTTTCTGATAAATTTGTGGTGCCTTGAAAAAACTTTGATAAATAATGGTCTCAGAATGAAACCATTTAACTCCTTAAATATACAGCAGTAGAAAACTGAAAGGGGCATAGTGTCACAACCAAAGACTAGACTGAAACAATTGACTATCATGGTTTAGTAATTTGAAAACTCTACCCGAGTTGTGATAAAAGCCATGAAAACAAAGCATCTGGAAGAGGCAGGGCAGAAATTAGTTACAACAAAACATCAAGACAAAAAATATCATTACCTTACTTAAAATATAAAAAATTCTAACTCCATTTCAAAAGGTAATTTTGAAACTAAAATAGGTGGTTAAAATATCATCATGCACTCTTTCAAACAATGACACAATACATAAGTCATGTTTAAGACGTTTTAAAATATGTTTAAGTTCAAAATGGGTTGAGAATTGGAATTATGCATTAGCTCCAGTACAAGGAAAGGACACAGTTACAACTGCTGCCGTAAATTTTTACACAAGGAATGGAAAATGGATATGTTTCTACAAGCTAAATTTCAGAGATAGAAAAAACTATCAAATGGATAACCTACGGTACCGTAATTATCGTCATAAAGCTGTGGAGGATAAAGAAAGTTGTACTTCAGTGTAGCGAAGTTAGGATGTGGTGATGAGTTGAGCCTATTTTTTTTTAGCGTCCTCAAAAGAGGATTGAATCAACAGAAAATATGCAGGTAATTACAGTACACTTCCTATTGAGCACCACCAATGATAATATCAACATTTTCTCTTTTATAAAGAATAAAAGCTGAAATGCTTCACTTGCTTCAAAAATATATACTAAGACAGTCCGATTTCATCTAGCCTCTCCATCATATGGAAAGACTTTCACAGACTTGGTTGTACACGAGAACCAGTTCATTATTGCATTTTCAGATGTAGATTTTTCTACCTAAAAAGATCACAAAGGAAAAATAAAGCTACCTATCCTAACTCTGAATATGAAGACAAGTTGATAGGTACTTTAAGATCTAATACAGGCACATGCAAAACATGTAATGCTGTCTACATGCATTGCATTAGACAAGAAAGTAACAGGAAAAACATTCCTGCATTTATCTACATTCACAGCCCAACTCCAAAACTTAATTCAGAATCCAAGATCAAAAGCAAAATAAATTATTCATAGCTAATTCTTATTCAAAAGAATTACACTGTCACATTGAAAATATACAACAATTATGAAAAGAGAGGTATAACTTGTCACAAGATTTACTCCAGCTGCAAATGAACACATGCATACAATATGCACTTCAGGGGTAATGTGGAGCCAAACAAAATAGGTGCACATGCAGGATGCCAGCAAACTCAGGACCATGAGAACCATGACTTGAGTGCTGCAGATGGGCTGGTGGGTGTTTGGGGTCCTCTCGGAGAGCTTGGAGCAGGCGACTTTGGAGTAGGCGAGGCTGAGATGATAGCTGCATGAGGCACACCATCCACTCCGTCATCAGAGTCATCCATGGGATTGAGCGAGAGACGTCGGGGTGAGAGTATGCCAGCCTGTGCAACTCTCGCATTGGTTTCCATGTGCATTTCAGCTTCATATTCCCGTACTTCATCTAATGTCATGCTGATCCAGCTGTCAATCCAAGCAAAAGCTTGCCTGTGGGCTAATACTTGTGCCTCCCGGGTGTACTGAAAAGAAACAAGTTCAACTTCAAAAGTGTTTCTTCAAGATGAGACAAAAATAAAAACTGTAACTTTCACTGTAAACAAACCTTGTGAATAAGTTCCTCAACTTTAGTTTGTAGTCCCCAAACTTCAAAGGAGGCTTTGACCAACTTGTACGAGCACATCACTGGCTGAGATGAATTCCGCCAACCCTCCACTAGAGGACCTCGTCCTGTTTTTTGAGACTGGAAGTATCGCACATCCTGCCAACAGGTAACCAATGTGGAAATAAGATAAAAAACCAAAGACAAATTTGAACTTTTTAATGATGAGAAAAGTGAGGCACTACCTCTTCCTCTTTGTAGTGTTTGGCACTGATTTCATCATAAGCAATGTCCACAAAATCCACCGCTCTTTCTGCCAATTCCTCTGGAGTTAATTTGTGGCACTAAAACAAAAAATTTTAATTACGAAAAAAAAGACAAATACTCAAATGGAGCTTTCAAACCAATATGTAACACTTTGCTGCACCATACATTGTGTGTAGCTCCATTGTTGTCCTCATATCGAGTGGTGACCTGGATGTGCAATTTTGGGATGAAAGAGCACTGCAACAGAAGGTTTTTTTTAAAATTAGGAATTTTGTTTAACAATATAGGTATTTCAAATTGTTACTTCTGAGACAAAATACTTACTGTGTACTCTTAATCAGTGAAGATGGAAGAAAAGGAAGTAACAAAAGAAAGGCCAGATTAGAAAAAAAGTGGAAGGACAAAACGTTATCTACAGATGCAACATATCAAGTTTAATGAGACACAAAGCCACAGCTAAAGTTATGTTAGTTTAAAAAACTTCAAGTATTCAGTTGCTCATACCTGAGATTGTGTAAGGATAGTAGTTCCAAGCCTTTTCAGTAATGTAAAATACCTTGGGTATCATCGCTTGAACCCAATATGGAAGCCGACTGCAAAGGCAGACAACAAGAAAACACCTTTAGTATGTTGACAGCTCAAATAACAGCTCGGAACAGATTTTTTTTTTCAGAATTGAGCTCAATGGAGCCACACGTTGACAACAATCTTACTTTGACAGGTGGATTCGCTTCTCCGTAAACTGCCCTTTCCCATGGACAGGGTCTTCACATGGTTGGTTTGCAATAACTTCCACACCTTCACCAGAGTCTGACTGCTCATGACTGTAACGAGCAATCATATAAAGCTGGCCAATTTTATACTGAAAAGAAAACGAAAAATGAATTATTTCGTTCTACAGTTATTTAACCTGTGTCATGTCAAGGACTCGTCAATGAATGATTGACGCGACAATGAGTCAATTTATTGCTTCATAACAATGGAACAAAAACAATCCAGGAATAAGAACGACAGAAATATTTGTATCATTTGGGGTTACAGAATTTTAAAACGTAATTACCTCTTCTACCGTGAGTGGCATACATATTCTATACTCTTTCGTCAAAACCATAATGGACGGATTGCTAAATAACACTCCAACAATAAAAAACAACAAACTATCTGCTGCTAAAGTGCCAAACAATCCACAACAAAATTAACTTAACCTCTACGTCAACAAACTTCTACGCATGTTGGGACTGATCATACTAGAAACAACAATTTTGAATCCGATATTTTTGACTATCCTTATCAATCTTAAAAAATCGAGGAAAGCGTGTGGGACATCATAGCATACGTGTCAACGTCCATTGAAACATAAATTTTGCGAGCTAAGCAAGAAATACAGCGATTGAAAGTCGACGTTAAGTTTGCAGAGGTTGGTAGTACGCGACCCGTGAGGCGGGCTGGCCACGCTCATTCGAAGGCCAGCGCGGAAGGGGGACCGATGAGAATAGTTCCGCCTCCGGCCAAACCGGATCAAAGAAAGCGAGCCCACTAGAATGGTTCCGCGAAAAATAATGCTGGCTCTCCAAAACAACAAGAAAAACAACGGCTTTCTCCATAACAATTAAGCTTGAGTAGAAAGACCGCGAAACATTTTTCCGAAGATTTCGACGAGATTCGTCTCCGTACTCCTCGATCCCAAAGGGCCGTGCCAGACCGGTGTAGGGCGTGGGGGCAGTGAGGTATATCGATGTCGTACGAAACAAGGGCACGCTTCCAGCTCATTTAGTTTCGCATCCGAACCTGAACGGGCCTTTGTTGTTGTTGTTGTTGTCTTTGTTTTGCCCTTGTTCCATTCTCCGCTCCCTTTGCGGGGCTCCCTTTGCGAGAGGGAGGGGGACAGAGACACGCTAGGTCGGATGGATGGAAATGGAGTCACGACTCGGCCGTGGACCTGCGGGCTGATTCCGAGCGATGCTCCGCTCGTCGCTCTGTCTCTCTCGCACTCACGGGGCGCGCCTAGGGTAGCCTAGGGGAGTGAGAGAGACGGAGCGACGACGGAGCGCCGAGCGGCATCAGCCTGCTGGGGCTCTGTCACCTCCATTGTGCCCCGAGGGAGCTGGAGCCGTAGGGACACTGTAGGGACCGTGCCGTGCAGTCTTTGCAGGGACCCAGCCAGCCTGCTGTCCCGGTCCCGCCCATCCGCCCGCGGCCTGAAGTCGCGTATCTTCGGACGGCGCCTCGAAGAGTTAGCGCGTCGACGGCCACCTGTACCACGACAAGCCCGCCGTGCCGCACCCACATGTGTGTGTGTGTGTGTGTGTGTGTGTGTGTGTGTGTGTGTTGTGTGTGTTGGTGTGTGTGTGTTGGTGTGTGTGTGTGTGTGTGTGTGTGTACGTATTCACGGAGCCCACTCTGGGGGGCGTTTCGCGTTCGCGCTCCGCGTTTCGCCCTGCTGCGTCTGAAAATTGAAACCATCCGAGTGGAAGGCAGCGGTGGCGGGTGGCCGGAACGGCGCGTCAAATCGCTTTAGTTTTAGTTTTTGTTGTTTTTTTTTCTCCCGCGCCGTCGGAATGACATCGAATCAGCGCAGTTTGGCGACCGACCATTTATCACTGCCGAGGCGTTTGCGCGTCGCGTCGCGTCTCTCTCGCGCCGGCGCGAGTCGAAATCGCTTTAGTTTTAGTTTTGTGTTTTTTCTCCCGTCGCCTGTGGAATGACATAATGAGCGCGTTTGGCGACCGACCATTTATCACTGCCGAGGCGTTTGCGCGTCGCGTCGCGTCTCTCTCGCTCCCGGCGTGCCCTACGAGTGCGAGAGAGACGGAGCGAAAAGAGCGCCGTTGTCCGGAATCAGCCTGCTGGACAGACATAGGGAGGCGGGGTTGCGCCCACCCCTGCCACGCCCTGCCGCGCCACGCCTTGCTACGCTACGACGAGCGTGAACATTACAAGACACAGCCACAGCAGCGCCGGGCACAAAGAACGGAGAATATGCTTCTGGGTTTGAATCCTGGAAAGCCTCGCCTCCGCCTCCCGTTCCCGGAAACGAGGCTGCGATTCCGGTGACTGTGATTGGTGGAGCCGGGATGGGGGGGCTCCAAGGGGATGATCGCCCTCTCCCCTCCCCCCACCCCCTCCCCCTCTCCCCACGCCCCTCTTACCCCCACCCCCTCTCTTTACTTCGGACACAATTTATGAACGAAGCCTTTATTGAATGTGGAAGAAATGATCCATGCTGCCCGTATCTCTCCGGGATGGCGCCTCAAAATCGAATCGGCGCGCTCTAGCGCCGCTCCTCGACTTGACGCGACGCTTTGCTTTATTTTCCCGATCGGCACATCGCATCGGAACGCGCTGCGGTATCGGAAGATTCGTCCGTCAGCTGCAAGGGCGCTGGCTGCTTCCGAACGGCGCGCAGTGTGCCAGAAGACCGGTGGAGGCGGCCAAAACTCTAGACGCGTTTTGAGCTCCAGAGTCGCTAAATAGGACTCGAACCGCACGTGTGACCCCACCAATGGATTGCTCGTTCAAAGAGCAATCCACGTGTGACCCCACCAATGGATTGCTCGTTCAAAGAGCAATCCATTGGTAGGGTCACACGTTCGGTTCGAGTCGTATTTAGCGACTGTAGAGCTCAAAACGCGTCCAGAATTTTGGTCGCCTCCACCGGTCTTCTGGCCCCGCTCTCGTCGCTCTGTCTCTCGCGCCCCGAATCCACCCCATGGGACCGCAGCTGAGGTCTCTTCCACCGTCAGCAGAAGGTGTTCGTTTGGTCTCATCGGGACCCCAAGGTTTTAGGGAGAGAAGCAGCGAAGCTCTTATCGCGCTCGGCAGATCGTTGTTCGTCTGGCTTCTGTGGCTTTAGAATTACTTCTGTAACGAATGACACGTGTGTCAGTGTAGCTCACGATGACACCATATGGCGGTGATCGTGTGGTTCCAGGTTTCCAGACAGCGTTCTGGAAGTTCCAGGGTGTGGCTCCAGATGGTGCTGGTTAACTTCTAGCGTAGCTCCAGATGGTGTTTGAGAAGTTCCAGGGTGGCTCCAGATGGTGCTGGTGGCACTTAGCGTAGCTCCAGGTGCCGTTAGGGAAGATCCAGGGTGGCTTCAGATGGCGTTAGGGAAGTTTCAGGGTGGCTCAAGATGGCGTAAGGGAAGTTCCAGGGTGGCGCCAGATGGCGTTAGGGAAGTTTCAGGGTCGCTCCAGATGGTGCTGGTGCACTTCTAGCGTAGCTCGAGGGCGTTAGGGAAGAGCGGGTGGCTATCCAGATGGAGTCGGTTTCTCTTCCAGCGTGGCTGCAACTGGCGACATTGCCAGACGCGGTGACTCTGCAGCCCTGCCCTAGGCTGTCACCAGATGCCATATGCCATTAGTGTTCTTCCAGAGGGTTCGAGATGGCGCTAGTGTAGGTCCAGATGGTGCTGTTCCAGCGTTCCGCGAGGGCCGAAGTGGGTCGCACAGTGCATCAGCATGACTCGGGCTCGTTTTATTCCAGTCCCAGAGTCCCAGCGCGGCTCCAGCGCGGTCAGCTCGGTCGGCCCGGCGCCGCCTTGTCACCCCTTTGAGGCCGAAGCCATTCATCAGTTGGCGACCGTGTCCAGGGTGGTCCGGGCTTGTCCAGGCTTGTCCAGGCTTGTCCAGGCTTGTCCAGGCTTGTCCAGGCTTGTCCAGGCTTGTCCAGGCTTGTCCAGGCTTGTCCAGGCTTGTCCAGGCTTGTCCAGGCTTGTCCAGGCTTGTCCAGGCTTGTCCAGGCTTGTCCAGGCTTGTCCAGGCTTGTCCAGGCCGGCCCGTGTGTCCACCACATTAATTAAATCGTCACAACTGCGACAACGAGCAGCGAGCAGAGCCAGCACGACCGGCCACGCCAGCCCCCGCAGGCCAGCACCACTCTGCAAAGCCTTTGGTCCGTACTGGAGGACAGCGGCGTGGGCACAGTGCACAGTGGGCCAGAAGACGCGTTTTGAGCTCCAGAGTCACTGAATGGGATTCGAACCGAAGGTGTGACCCCACCAATGGATTCCTCGTTCGGAGAGGAACCCATTGGTGGGGTCACACGTTCGTTTCCAGTCCCAGTTAGCGACTCTGGAGCTCAAAAGGCGTCTAGAATTTTTGCTTCCTCCACCGGGCTTCTGGCCCACTGTGCGGTGGTGCCAGCTGTTTGTTGCTGGAAAAGTGGGCCGCTGGACCACGCCACTGGAACGCTGGAATTCACAGCACAGCCGCGCCAACAGTTTGTTTATTGCGCACGTCCGACTGGGCGGAATTAAACAAACCCTCGCGTTCGGGGATGAAATTTTACACTGCCATCCCAGTAGTAAGTTTACTTGCCACGGATCTGGCAAGCCGTTTTGAATGCCAAAAATTGGTAAGCTTGGCCCGGAAATACTCCCCAGCTTGCCAAAATTTGGCAAGCTTCGCCCGGAATTACTCCCCAGCTTGCCAAAATTTGGCAAGCTTCTGACGAGTGCCGACCAAAGCTTGCCAAATTTTGGCATTCAAAACGGCTTGCCAAATTTGTGGCAAGCAAACTTACCACTGGCTTTGCAGTGTAATTAGAGATTTCGTTCGGCGCTCTTCAGGCGGCCACCACGGGAGCAACACCCACGTGCACACGTACGCATCGAGTACGCCCCGCCCCGCCCTGCCACGCCCCGCCCTGCCACGCCACGCCCCGCCCTGCCACGCCCCGCCCTGCCACGCCACGCCCCGCCCTGCCACGCCACGCCCTGCCACGCCCGGCCACGCCCTGCCCCGCCCTGCCACGCCCTGCCACGCCCTGCCACGCCCACGCCCTGCCACGCTCTGCCCCGCTCTGCCCCGCCCTGCCACGCCCTGCCACGCCCTGCCACGCCCTGCCACGCCCCGACCACGCCAGGCGGCGGCACAGCCCGCAATGGGTGAAGGTCATTGCATCGATCGACGCCACCTCCACGTTGGCCGCCCCCTCCCGCCCCAGCCGCCCCCTCCCGCCCCCGCAGCCCCCGCCGCCCCCGCCGCCCCCGCCGCCGCCCCCACAGAGGAAGCTGACATTGCCTCTCCCGGCGCGGCTGGCGCTGCCGTGGCTCCAGCGCGAGCGTGCTCCAGCACCCGATAGACCCTTTTCGACGCGCTGGGTGTGGCTGGCTGGCTGCCTGCCTGGCTGGCCGCCTGGTGGCCGGGCTGGCGGGCTGGCGGCCGGCCGGGCAGCGAGGTAAACAAATTTATTCGCAGAGAGACACCGCACGGCCTTGACTGCGCACAGTGGGCCAGAAGACCAGTGGAGGCGGCCAAAACTCTAGACGCGTTTCAAGCTCTAGAGTCACTAAATGAGACTCGAATCGAACGTGTGACCCCACCAATGGA